CCTGGTCCATCAGCATTCCTCCCACCCCCATTAATCTAAACCTGGGAATGTGTCAACCAGGTGTAGGAATCTAGAGTATGCCATTGGAATCTGACTTTTTATATAAGCAATGGCAAATAGGTGGCATGTGTGCTAGCACTCTTTATTCTCTGCAGACATCATTAATCAAACCACACTTTTTCCTGCAGTGGGCAAGTCTTAACATCCTTCCCTGTCTCTCTTAACATTCTTCTCTCTCCCTCTCTCTTTTTAAAGATTGTATTTATTTATTCATGACAAACACATAGAGAGAGGTGGAGACATAGGCAGAAGGAGAAGCAGGCTGAGAGGAGCCTGATGCAGGACTTGATCCCAGGGCCCCAGGATCATGACCTGAGCCAAAGACAGACACTCAACCACTGAGCTACCCAGGTGACCCTTAACATCCTTCTCAACACAATACCCTAGTTGTGTTGGGACTGATTTGAACTGACAATTGGCAACCTATTCTTCATCCCTATTATAGAAAGTAAATATTTTAGGAATTAATAGACATCAATGTAAATATAAATTCATTTAACTCTTGGTAAGAGTCCTTTTTAAAAAAAATTTACTTAAATCAACATCAAGAATCCTGTAGATGAGATTTATATGCATAGGCAAGATAAATTGTATAATGAGGTGAATTTGCAGCCAGTTGGTAATTAGTAAATGCCCCAGTACAAGGCATATCCACATGGCATTGTCCTTTACCCTCTCCTCACCAACATTTTATCAGTGACAGATGATGTTACAGGAGGTATGCCCGTCAAATGCAAATCTTAAAGTGGGAATGAATGGCCAAACTGTGGGGTGTCAGAGTCAGATTGGCAAGTATCTAAGCAGGTTGGAATGATAGTCCAAAACTAAGAAGAGGAAATTTTAGAAGGATCTGATCCATTCAGAGGTCTATATCTAGTGCAAAAGAAGAAAAAAAAATTTAAAGAAAATTAACAGCATGGATATGGAATGAAGAAGACAGGGATTATTAACCATTCATGTGGAAAAAAGTATAGAATTTATAGTTGACCTCCATCTCAGTGTTCATCAAGATTGGGATAATAGCTTTAAAAAAATGTAACAACCTTTGTTCAATTAATAGCTGTAGATTTCAGATCAAAGGGAGTCAGACTTAAAAGACATTTCTAGATGACCACATTTGAAATATTACCCCCATTTCCAGTTGGCTATATTTGACTGGGAAGTTGTGCATTCTTAAGATGAGGGAATTTGAGATTCTCTTCTGAAGTAATCATAGCTGTCTTCAGTTATTTTCAGGATTATCATATGTTGTTTTTGGGGGGAACACCTGGAATTGAGGAGCATAAGTTTCAGGATTGCAGATGTTTTTGAGAATATTCTAATCTTCAGAGCTATCGGTGGAGCGAAAAAGGATGCTTGTAAAGTAATGAGCTCTCGATAATACGATTGTAAAACTCCATGGAAGTCAAGAAGTGGAATAGTATGACCCATTGATTTACTTCAAATCTGTAAACTAGGCATAATTTACCATCAGAAAATATGACTATCACATCCATGCAGATTTTTGCATTTCAACATAAAAGTAAGAATGCATACAATTTGTAAGAAATCACATATCCGCTCTTTTAGTTGATCTTAATAGCTTTTTGTATACTTGTATTTGTCATCTCTTACTTGAGTTGGAAGAGAAGAATGGGCAATAAAATTTGAAGGCATGACTATTGGAGAAAAATTTAAAATTAAGACAGTTTTTCCACTAACTGAATTTTTTTTCTAATTAGGAAAAGACCACCAACATTCTGTTTTTGTAGTGGAACATCTTATCCAGCTTGAACAGTATTCCAGAGGAGCACCTCACAATCTGGTATGCAGTAATCTGGCTATTTGACTAAGAATACTATGTTTACTGACTTCAGAGATGATTCTTAGTTTTTGGTCATAAGGAGTCAATATGTTCCCATGATCCTCCATTAAATGAATACAATACTTAAAAACACAATATTTATAACATGTAAAGTGCCTATAAAAATGCCTGGTGCACAGTAAAAACTGTCATGCAGCTCTTACTTCTATTATTTAATGTTATCATTACCTGGGTTTCTTTCGGCACTTTGGAATATAATGCGATTGGAACTTATTCTGGTACCCTCACTGGGTCCAACTTCTATTGACTCCAAAATAGGGCTTCCTATTGGAAGGATAGTGGATGGGTATTGGATACCTGCCTCTTTGGCCTCCACTGTCTGTCTCAATATAGAGTTAATATTATCTTCCTCTCAGATTTCATATATTCTCATGACATGTGAGAAGTCATTGAAGTTGTTGGAGATGGTTAACCTGACAGAGAGAAGAGTACGTGGAACCTTTTCATAGGGCCATTGGGGAGCTGAGGCAACAGGCAATCTTAGAATCAATGATTCTTCAACCTTTTGCAGTGACAGACAGCTTTGTACCTCTGATGCAAGCCCTTTTCCTGAAAAAATGCTTGAGCATTTTCCAAGGTGTCCTAGATCTCCTGAAATGAAATCCATGCATGGTTGGGAGGGCTTCCCATCACAGAGCTTAGCTCTGGAGGGCAAAGGAAGACAAGGGTGGAGAATATTGAGGGGGCAGGAATACCTGTGTTGGGGTCAGTATAAGAAAGATCTTCCTGATAGCTCTGCAGGATTGTGCAATCATGTTAGGGTGGTTTTAAAAGTAGTGATGGCCAGACTTTGTCCAGACCAATAAGAATCAGAATCTCTGTGGGTAGGGTGTACAGCCAAGTTGGAGAACCAGTAAAGCAGAGCAGTTTGCCATTGGAACAGGCTAAGTAATGAGCGCTTTGCCAGCAGAGATACTTCAAGTGCAGAACTTTTTTCTTAATGATTTGAACATTCTAACTATACTTAATCTCTCCTAAACTGTATCTGTTTCTTTGCTATACTGACCTCAAGTGCACATTTATTTTATTATTTAAATAAACGACTTTCCTTTTGATTCTCTACCTTTTTCCTTTTGAACTGTACACTTGTTAAGTCTTTGGGCTCCTGTGGGACAAATGTATTTGTAATTCAGGAAAGTGCATGACTGAGTTGGGAGCTTCTTTGGCCTGAGCAGTGACTGAAGTGAAATTTCATAAGATGAAGGGATCAGGTTGGTTGGCACAATCTGGTCCTTAATCATGTTTCTGTTAATAAACAGAATAACACTTGTGGTTTTTAGTCACTTCTAATACCATTTTTTTCCTTTCAGATTTCATTTATTTCCTCTGATGTCATATTGGAAAAGATTAGGATGTCCAAAGATATGTGACCTTCCATAGGTAAATGGAACTTTATTAACATCAAAATGCCACTTTAAGCGTATGTGAAAGAGCCAAAATGGTAATTAAACAGATGTGGTTATAAGAAGTTACCAATCTTTACCTCAACAGAAAATTTAAAAAGTGAGTTTCTAGTAGGGATCATGTTAGGGTAAGAGAACAAAGTATGTGGTCCCCAGGGGGTGTCATTATAAACCAGGAATCCTCAAGAAGGCGCTGGCTGTTCCTTAGCATACAGCTGGACCATTGGAGGTCACTGCCTAGGCCCTGGGATTCATCTCTGCAGCTTGCATGGTGCTCAGGGGGAGCCTCTGTCTGTAGGAAGGTACTAAAATCATGCCCATCTTATAGATAAGCAAACAGATTTGGACATGTAACTTGCCCAAGGTCGTACAACTAGTAATAGGATTGGAACCTTGGCTGTTTAGCAACCAAGTCTGTGCTCCTAATCAGGATGAGAACTTTCCATAGGTGGTTTAGTTGGTTAAGCATCTGAGTCTTGATTTTAGCACAGGTCTTGATCTCAGGGTCCTGAATTCAAGACCCACACTGGAGCTCCATACTGGGTGTGGAGCCTACTTTAAAAAAAAAAAAGGATGACAACTTTCCTAACTCTTTGACTAATTATAAAGGCCAAGCCCCATTTTTCAGCCTGGGAAAATATCATTAATGATAGACAATATCACCCCCATCATCACTGCGACTGCTACCATTACCACCACATACGGGACTAGTATGCTAAGGCTGCCATGATGTAGTACCATAGACACTGGACAGCTGAAACCACAGAAATGTACTGCCTCACACTTCTGGTAACGAAGTCCGAAATCAAGGTGTGGGCAAAGTTGCTTTCTTCTGAGGGGCATGAGGGAAGGATCTGCTCTAGGCCTCTCTCTGTGGCTTGCATTCTTCTCCCTGTGTCTCTTCACATGGCCTCCCTTTCTGCGTGTCTGTGTCCAGATTTCCCCTTTCATAAGGACCCAGTCGTCCAAGGTGGGTAGGATGAGCAGAGAGACCTAGCCTAGACCACATGCTCTCCAGCCTTGGCTGGTATCTGGAGTTGCCAGGAAGAGAAAGAAAGGAAAGTGGCCAGGTCACCCATGCTGACCACAGTTCCCGTGGTGTTAGCACAGTAGCATCTGGCCTTTTTTTGGAGTGGAGGGCAGGGGTGCTCAAACCTGCATTCCCTGCTGCACTTTACCCCATCACGAGGGATAGAGCATCCGCTAACATCTTCTTATCCTCTCTTCTTCAGTCCCAACTTCAGTCCTTAATTAGATCCATTAGTCTTTCCAATTAGCTGTATTTTTTATAATACCAATGGCTGGCAATGGCTGATTTTGTAATATTTCTTCCAGTCTATTCTGGAATGTGTCTTGATGTTATTTTACCTGGGTTATTGATTTGTTTTTTTTTTAATTTTTATTTATTTATGATAGTCACACAGAATGAGAGAGAGAGAGGCAGAGACACAGGCAGAAGGAGAAGCAGGCTCCATGCACCGGGAGCCCGACGTGGGATTCGATCCCGGGGCTCCAGGATTGTGCCCTGGGCCAAAGGCAGGCGCCAAACCGCTGCGCCACCCAGGGATCCCTGATTTGTTTTTTAAAGAAATGAATATTATTATAACTAAGTCCAGCCCGCATTTCATGCTATAGGAAGAAGATGTTAAAAACCCTTGGCCACAATCACAGTAATGGATCTCTGTCAGAAGAAGGAGACTGAATTAGAAATCAGTGAAAATAATGAAATTCAAAGCCCAGAAGACACGGAATTAACGTATACTTGCTCAGATGAAAGAAGTGAAAAGAATCATGTTTGTTGTCTTCTCAATATCAGTGACATTACGCTTGAACAAGATGAAAAAGCCAACGAGTTTGTCATCAGAACTGGATGGGAAGAAGCCGTGAGTATTTCCTCGACTGACCTCAGTCAGGCATCTGTGTTTTGGTTCAAGCTTTTCCTTTTGCCAAAAAGAGTTATTACAAAAAAAAAAAAAAAAAGCATTGAAATCTAGGAACCTTAGGAATAGAAATGAGATATAAATAATGATAACAGTACCTTTTATTGGGTATTTGTGGCCAGTTGGTGTTGGCAAGCTCAAATGCTTCACATACATCCATTCATTTAACCTCTCAATAGCCCTATGAGGCAGGTATTATGAACAGCCTCACTTTTCAAGCAAGGAAAATGAAGCATCCAAAAGGTGAAACAGTGTGCCAAAGATCACCCAGCCAAAGGCCAAGGCAGGGCTTAAATCCAGCTCTTCTGGACTCCAGAACCCAAGCTCCTTAACTGCTGTGCTAAGCTCCCCAAGAAACCTGAGATTGCTGTCCTAGTGGTTCCACTCAGAACACCATGGGTTTATTCTTAAACTCTTCCTAGAATTAATAATGGAATCCTAAATTTAGAACTATAAGGAAATTTGATCGAATTCACTGATTCTCAGGTGATGCTTGTCAATGTCACACAACTGGGGGCTCAGGGAAGGGGATGCTACTGGCATCTATTGAGGGTGAGGGGAAGGGGATGCTAGTGGCATCTATTGGATAGAGTCCAGGAGTGCTGCTCCAAATCCCACAGTGCCGAGGACGGCCCCCACCACAAGGAATGAGCCAGCCATGTCTTAGTTTGGGGCTGCTATAACAGAATACCATAGACTGGGGGCATATAAAACAGACATTTATTGCTCACAGTCCAGAGGGTGGACATTTGAGATCAAGGTGCCAGCATGGTTGGGTTCTGGTGGCGGAACCTCTTCCTGTTTTGTGCTCACATGGCCCTCGTTGGTACAAGTAGATCCCTTATACCCTTTTCCTCTTATAAGGGCACTAATTGCATTTTGAGGATCCCACTCTCTTGACTTCATCAATCCTAATTACCCCCAAAGGTCCCACCTCCAAATACTACTTTGGGGATTCAGGCTTCAACATGGAAATTTGGGAGGATGCAGTCATGCAATCCATACCATGCCCTAAATGTCAGTAGTGCTGATGTTGAGGAACCCTGATCTAATTGGTTTATTTTATAAATATGGAAACTGAGGCCAACACTTGGCAGAGCAACTCCCCCAAGTCTACTTGACAGTGAAAGAGTTGTGTCTTGAGGACCCTTGTCTTGTACTCTCTGTTGTACCATCCCCCCCACCCCACTACCTTGTGTGCACGCAAGCTCGTGCCAGCTAAGTTAGGATTATAAACAGTTCTATTTGACTATATAAAACTTTCCAAGTTTAGAAGGTTCAGTTTACTACTGAAAGTAATGACTTTCAGGTGTATATATCCAAGGGCTGTTGGAAAAGAATTTTCTTTTAATTGGAAGAAATGCCACATGTGCTCCATGCTTAAAGCATGTTTGCTGTTCACAATGGAGGATGATCACACCATGCCATCTCCTCCTGCCTGCTGCCTGTTGCTCTTCACTTTCTCTGCCAACCAGTCCCCCACCCCTGGTGTCTCAGGTGGCCTTGTCTCAGGATGGGTGTCAGGGGCCTCTCTCCCACCAAAGCTAGCTTCCTGCACTGGCTTGTGGCCCTTTGATACTTCCTGTGCTGTTGTCAGGGACCCATGGGCCAGTATGTCTATGAGGACAGAGAACATTTTCCTGGCAGCAATTAGTGAGAATTTCCTATGTTTGCAGAGCCAAGGGACCTCACAGGATGGGTTCAGGGCCATGCATGTTTGACTCAGACCAACCCAACCAACATGTAGCTTACCTGTGACAGCCTACCTGTGAGAATCAAAAAATCCAGGTGTCATTGATTTCTGGACTTGGATCCCCTGTCAGGCCACCTGAACACCTTGGAGATATAGATCTTCTGTAGCAGCCTCAACCCAAGGCTCACCTGGGGTGTTATTAAAACCATCTGCCCAAGTCCATCCTGTGAGCATTGGCATAGGTTGGGGTGGGGCTCAAGAATCTGGATTTTTAAGCAGCAGTGCAGATGACTCTTAAGGTCAAACAAGCAGAGAACATTTTCTGAATCAACAGGTGCACCTGTTTAACAGATTAAATGGGACATCTGTAAAAAGATTAAAGTTCCACAATTTAGGTTTCTCTCAAATATCCAGCTGAGTCAAAGTTGGTGTGCTCAATAAGCATCGCCAGGAGATCCTTATTATTATCCCCTTGTCTGGCTGGAGGAGGACGGGATGTGCAGGGTTATAGGACTTGTCTCATTCCAGCTGAAGCCACCTTCCATAGAGAGGCCAGTTAGCCTGAGGATCTGTTAGCTAACGTGCTGGGACCCTTCTTTGCAAAAGCTGGAAATTCACCTGGGAACTCAGGGTCAAGAGCAGTGAGGTCTGAAGCAAGGAATGTGGTCCTCTTGAAGACCCAGCACCAACTCTGCAGCACATGAAGGGACGGGGTTCCAAGACAGAAGCTGGTGGAGGATGCTGGGAGAGGTGTCTTTTGGCTATCTCGAGTGTAGCACAGGGCAGCGACCTTACAGCTCCCACATATCATTGCCATCTAAGAATTGGGACCTAACTATACAAAAGAAAATGGGAGTTTTTTGTTGGAATAGATTCAAGGTATCTACTTGAATACCTTGAATTCCAAGGAATTTGGAATAAGAAAGACCAGATTCAGATTCAGTACTTACAGGCCGATAACCTCAGGGAGGTCTCCTTCCTCTAGCTCCAAGTTCCTCAGCTCTAAATTCTGGCCCTAAAGGATGTATGAGGAGGGCAGGAATGCCTAATTCAGCATCAGGCACTTATTAGACTTTCTGAAAAAGGGATGCCAAACACGATTTTTTAACTGGAGGAATCTGGGGAGCTGAGCATGTGCAGTGAGAGGGTGCAGAGATCAGGAGCGAATGATAGTAAAGGGATGTTTTTGTGCAAGACAACCAGAGGCTGGCCTCCTGCGGTGGCCCGGAGACGCTGCGTTCCTCACAGCCTCTCCTTGTCCCCTTCGTGGAAACACACAGACCTGAATGTGCCAGAACCTGCCGTGGGCTGTAATGATGTTTTTCTTTGTTTGTTTCTTTCTTGTTCAAACAAACAAATTGTTTGTTTGAAGACTTTATTTATTTATGAGAGACAGAGATAGGCAGAGGGAGAAGCAGGCTCCCTGTGGGAACGCCGATGCAGGACTCCATCCCAGGACTCCTGGGATCATTCTCTGAACTGAAGGCAGACACTCAACCACTGAGCCACCGAGGCACCCCTGTAATAATGTTTTGAATGACAGTTTCCACCTCTGTCATCTGGGCATCAGAATACCTGAATTAAAGTGCTGTGGTGAGGGTTAAATGAATGAATGCCAATAGATCATTAGCTCAGTGTCTGGAACATAGTAATAACGTGGGAACTATGTTTGCTTTTTTTTTTTTTAACATATAAGGGCCAGATTTAGCAAATGAAGACACAGGATGCCTGGTTAAATTTGAATTTTGGTAAACAGTACCTAATATGTCTAGTGTTGAGTATGTCTCAAATGTGGTCCTGTATTTTTATTTGGCAACTCTATTTAATGGTGAATCTGTTGCAAGCTCAGCCAGGAGACTCTAGGCGTGTACAGGCGGAGAGTGGCGCAGGGGTTCTGGGATACACTGACTCCAGGACCTGCCTCTGCTCATCCTCTCTCCCTCCAGCCCGTCCAACACAGCAGTGTCCCAGGGTCTGATAACAGAGCCTGGTGGTCTAAGAGAACCTGGTAGGGAGGCAAGTACAAACAGTTCTGATTTTATATTAAGAGTTCTGACTTTAACGTGCATCTGAAAACATATAGAGCCAGCACATCAAGATGGCCATTTACAGATATTTTTGCTTAGTATTTTAATATGAAATCCAATTGTCAGTATTTCAGATTAACAAGCACTATTACAAATGCTATTACTTAGTATGAGGCTAAAATAGTATTAAAATTAACAACAGCAAAAAAAAAAAAAAAAAGGTGAGTCAGTTTTAAGGAAAATACCAGTTCCGAGAGGATGGCCCCCAATGGGGATGTGGTCACCCCTGGAGCAGCTGGACTGTAAGCAGCTCAGCCGGGAGTAACATGCTACTTTATTTGCAGGTTCAAGGCTGGGGAAGGACTTTTCCAACTGCCTGCATCTGGCCCAGGAAGAAGCCTAAAAAGGCGAGGGTGGGAGAAGTTGCCAGCGGCTGCTTACTCTGTGGCAGCCTCTCCCAAGGGAGCACTGAGGCCAGGCCTCAGGCCGGGAAATTGGGGTCAGGGGCTCCTGCTGAGGTGGGTCCAGAGAAGGATCAAGGAAGCCCCTCCCAGACTCAAGGGACCCCTCAGGGTCCCATTGCTGCCTCCAGGGAGATTAGCAAGATCTGCTTTCCCACCTACAGTCAGGGAGAGAAAAAAAGTCTGCAAATAAAGGAATTTGTTTGGTGCAAGGAAGACTGGGCCACCCCTGAGACTATTAGGGGCAAGGACCCCAGAAGCGCCAGCAGAGGTCCCTCCATCTCAGACTCCTTGACTTCCAGGGCTCTTTTAGTTCTGCCTCCCCTGAAGGCTTCACCCCCAAACGGCTTGGATGTTCTGGGTAAGAAGAGTAAGAACTTTTTCTTGCAGCCGGAAGAGAAGGTGCTGGGTCTGGAAAAGGATGAGTGTGTGGCTTGTGCATATGGATTGAAAACAGTTGACGGGAAAGGTGAAAAGAGACCCGTTGAGCTGGCCAAGCACCCCAAGGTCAATGACACCCTGCCTTTCCCTCCCCGGGTGGCCCCAACACCCCTGCTGGCCAATGTGGAGCCGTGCTGTCTGCAGTGGTCCCTCCTGCCTGAGAGAAACCTGCTGTGCCCTCCCAATCCCAGCAACGTGCACTATCTCACCACCGTGCAGCTTTTGCAGAAACAGGGAATGCAAAACTACAAAGCCAAATTCAGAGCCAGGGAGCCAAGACCTCCCATCAACACTCAAAAGCGCATTCTCACGGAGGCCAAGCAGGAAAACAGGCTCCAAATGTTGGAGACCAAAGTGTTCCCGAGAACGCTCTTGCCATCCCTCACAGTGAGCAGAGTTGTTATTCCAGTCTCCACTCACAGACTGCTCTGAGCTGCCACAACAGAACTCCCTGGGAATAAGTACTGTTTGAATTCTTTCATCCTCTCCCTGTCTCTCCCCCTCCATCCCATCCTCCTCTCTTCTCTTCCCTTCTGCGGTGCTCTTCCCGGCCACTGGCCCTCCCCTAGTCCTTTTTCTTTTTTTTTTGCTGTAGAACCAGGGGAAATGGAACCTCACTGTATGGGTTTCAATTCATTCTCAAAACCCCCATGTGTATGTGTCACCTGCTTCTGTTGCTTAGCCATTTACAAAATGCAAACTGGTAATGCCAGTCTCAGCCTCTGCCTGCCTTATCTCTCTACTCCCCCTGGAAGCCAAGCAGATGGTGGGGACTCTGAAGGACCTCCCTCAGTGATGCCCATGTCAGCCTGGAGCCAACCGGCAGGGGTTCTTTCCACCCCACCCCCGTGCCGTAAGCCAGGTGTAAGGGCTTGTTTAGACCAAATTGTTTCCTGATCTTGTGAACCAGGCAGTTATCTATCATATATAGTTATCTATCATGCTTCATTTTCTCTTGCAACAAAGATCTGAAACATTGCTTTAATAGATAACCCCAGCCTGTGTCCAAATAAACATCCTTGTGTCTGAGGTGTCATATCCTTATATCCACGGATATACCGCATCCACTACATGCTGCACATTCCCAGGGTTTCATATACTTAGGTCATAGCCTCATGCTAGTCTCCCTGTCTGGAAAAGTTTTAGCTGCAGCTCCATAAAGTCCATCTTGGGAAGCAGGTTAAGAATAACTATTTGGGAAAAAAAAATGTCACTGTGATTATGACTGTCACCCCTCATGCTTCTTCCAGTCTGACCTTGTGTCTAATTTTTGGGAACTCTCAATCCCAAACAGACACAGAATAGGGAATACTTTCTCTCTTCTTCCCTCATTTTACCCCAATGCATATTTCCTAACGTTGTATATAAATTAAACATTTGTAAATGAGTTATATTTTAAGTGCTAAGTGACAATGCTATGTAGAGAAATGCTCTGAAAAACCATTTTGTAGTATGAATAACCATTTAGCCGCTCTGTAATTACATAGTTTGCATTTGCTTAAGATAGGTTGTACTTGATCTCTGGACTTCCTGTCCCCTAAATTATGGGTAGACAGACGTAGGACTGTGTTTGTAAACATCTGCTTTCCACAATTGGTCTTTGTAATGTCTCTTAGTTTAGGTTTTTTTTTTTATTTTTTTGTGATTTGTTTTTTTACAAAACACTAGAAATGCAGAAATGAATATAGTACAATGGTCATTAAAAGGTGTACTTTGCCTATTGAGGTCGGACACTTCTTTTTTATAGTCTAAAAGCAATTTTTAGGTTCTGCCCACCTCTTCTTCTCTGAATGAAGAAACCATCTAGGTTCTGCCCCCAAGAAGCTGTTGCTCTCCCGCTGCGTCAGGACCGTGAAGTGTGAGACCTGGTGCTGTGTGAGGACCCAGCTCTGGCAGCCTGCCCTCCTGCGTCAGTGGTTCTTCAAGCTTCATCTCAGAAACAGCAAGATGATGTCTAAGCTCAGTATGGAACATAGGCAGGAGTGTCGCTGGGAGGGAAGCATGTCTACCAGCGTGAGCAAGGGACAGAGCCCACCTACTTAGCCTCGGGGTGCTTACATTTTGAGATCTGGAGACAGTCGGAAAACATTGATCTAAGTTAGAATATTTCTGTAAGAAAAACCCTTTTGTTGTGATAAGGGTCATAAATTCTACAGATTTTGAGGGTAATGATTTAGAATTAAGAGGAGGGCTGGTCTGAACAAAGAAAGGGCTCAGATTTAAAGCTTTGTAGTATCCTTCTCTTTGAGCAAATAGTTTGGCCAACAACACATTGACTAGGAGATTCCTCTATGAATAGATACAAGTATTGTGCATTTGGCATCTCTCTCTCTTTCTTAAAGATTTTATTTATTTATTTATGAGAGACACAGAAAAAGAGAGAGAGAGAGAGAGAGAGAGAGGGGCAGAGACACAGACAGAGGGAGAAGCAGGCTCCATGCAGGGAGCTCGATGTGGGACTCGATTCCGGGTCTCCAGGATCACACCCTGGGATGAAGGTGGTGCTAAACCGCTGAGCCACCCAGGCATCTCTTTAGGTAATTTTTCTATTAACCTGACTAAGCTCCTCTGGGATCTTATTGGCATTAACCTGGGTGTAGCTTGTTTTCTGTGGATAAAATCACTCCAGGTTTTGCCTGTTTCCATTGAGATTGAATCAGGGCATCCAGACTGGTCTTTGATGTCCATGTCTAGATAAAGGAAAAATATATAATATTTATACTTTTTGAAAAAGATTTTATTTATTCATGACACACACACACACACACACACACACACACACACACACACACAGGCAGAGACACAGGCAGAGGGAGAAGCAGGCTCCATGCAGGAAGCCTGGTGTGGGACTCGATCCTGGGACTCCCGGGATCATGCCCTGAGCCAAAGGCAGATGCTCAACCGCCAAGCCACCCAGGCATCCCAAGGAAAAATATATAATAGAATGCAGTCCCCATTAGGGATCTAGGTCACCAAAAAAACTTTCAGGGGAAATCCCGCCATTTAAGGGCGTTAAGCACATTATAACTATGGCAACAGCCTTCTTCCTGCCTCAAGGTAATGGTCCTAGTCAGGTTTTGGATCCTCTTGTCCTCTCTAAGCCACACGTGGAGGGCTGTGTTTCATCCCTCATTCTCATTGGATGTCTCATTAATAAAACTCTCCAAACTCCTATTTTCCTCCAAACTTTAAAAATCACCAAGTGAGGGGATCCCTGGGTGGCGCAGCGGTTTGGCGCCTGCCTTTGGCCCAGGGCGCGATCCTGGAGACCCGGGATCGAATCCCACATCGGGCTCCCGGTGCATGGAGCCTGCTTCTCCCTCTGCCTGTGTCTCTGCCTCTCTCTCTCTGTGACTATCATAAATAAATAAAAATTAAAAAAAAATCACCGAGTGAAACTGTGGTAGCACCTGACACGGCTCCTGCAGGGCCTGAGGTCACCCTCTGGATGAGGCCAGGCTGAAGCCTGGGGTGCTGCTGCGGGTCTGGGTGAGGCAAGGAGGTGCCTGGAGCAGCGGGAAACCTGGACAATGTTTCCTGACGGAGCCATGAGGCCTGGCTACATTTGGACACGTGTGTAGGATTTTGGCTACTCAGGGAGACTTCCCCTAATTTTTAGCTTTATTCTTTTTATTCTGGATGTGGCCTCCTTCTGTGAAATTTACCTGTACTTCAAGGACCATGCTACTTGAACCCAGAACCAATTTGGTTTTCATTCCCTCAAAGTTCAAGAGCTTTGGGGACCCAGAGAGCCCACAGAAGCCCTGCCCATTCTCTCTGGCTATCCCCAGCTGTCCAGGAAGGCCAAGATGCATGACCTGAGGCCTCATGTCTGGGCCTTGGTGGGGTATCTGGTCTGGGTCCAGTGCAACCTTGGTGCTGCAGCTTAGGGGCTTCTGAGAAGCAAGATGGAGAATAAACAGAGGGGCTCCTGTGTCTATGACCAAGGGCATATCAGGACAGTCGCTGGTACCCCAGGGAATACTCTACCACCATCTGCCAAGCTCACTGGGACGCTGGTGCCAGGACTCTGTGCCGTGCTCTTGATGTCCAGACTAGACTGCCCCGAGCTCTGCCAAAACCAGCCACACAATACAGAAATTCCTTTGAATTTACAAGGCACTGTTGTAAGCCCCTTCTGGGTATCTTTATCCTAAGCAAATACATGAGTGTTGAGGATCATTTTCTCCTTCCTTTGTTCAGGGGCTGGATAATTCTTTGTAGGGACTGTTTTGTACAGAGTAGAATATTTAGCAGCATCCCTGGCCTCTATCTGCTAGATACCAATAGTATCCCTCAGTCGTGAGAATCAAGAATGCTTCCAGACATTACCAAGTGCCACAAGGGCAAAATCAGCCCAGTTGAGAACCAATGTTTTAGGGACCCAATGCCTGTGTTTGTGGCTTCTCTGAGCACAAGCCCTGGCATAGGGACAAAGGAACAGTGGTGATGTCTGGCTTGCTGCATCCTGGAAAGCACAGGTGCTCTGGATCGAAAGCCCTCTGGTGCTGTTTTGTCTTGGTCCTTCAGGGTCTTCTGGTGGTAGATACCCCCCAGATACCCCCCAGAAGGAAGCGACCACAAGCCTGCTTTTTCTGAGATAATTCCTAAGAAAAGTAGGCCCGCTTAGCCACTGCCAATATTCTCATATTCATCTTTTGAGAACGTGCATTATTGCTTTGGCAAGGTTCTCAAGAAAATTCAATGATGTTGACATGTTTACATTTAATGCCATTGTTCAGAATTCCCTACTGTTTAAGCAATACTCTCAACATTCACTGCTTGTGTTAACTCAGTATGAATATTAAGAGGTGGCCCACATGGCTATACCACTCCTTGTAGCCACTGGCAAGTTGATACATCATATGTATATATGAAAATAGCTCTTGTCCCCGATTTAGCTCAAACTACAAACCTTTCTTCCCTGTGTATCTTTTCAAATGAAACAATTTCTCTGCTTCTAAAAACTTTCACTGTTAACTTGAAAACATACCATAAACTAGTCATATTTTTAGTGTCACAGGACTGTTAGCAATTTTATTTTGGTCTGGCATGTGTTCTGAAGAAAACTAGAAATCAAACATTTAATTCGGGATAAATACCACCAGTTCTGATTCTGTTCATGACTCTATGAAGGCTTAGTTTCAGTCCTCATGACTGATTTCTCTCATGTAATTTCGGGAAAATGGAATGTCAGATCCTTATTATAGTAGCTAGAGAACATTAAATCCAGACTTACTACTTAGGTGCGTGTATCTCGTTAGAGAATGGTGATTTAAATGGTTTTATTTTTTAATTTTTTAAAAAGATTTTACTTATTCATGAGACACACAGAGAGAGGCAGACACAGGCAGAGAGAGAAGCAGGCTCCATGCTGGGAGCCCGATGCGGGACTCGACCCCAGGACTCCAGGACCATGCCTTGGGCCAAAGGCAGGCACTAAACCGCTGAACCATCCAGGGATCCCCGATTTAAATGGTTTTAAAATGGGGCAAATATTACCAAAAAGGTGAAAAAGAACAAACTGACAGCAGCTTACAATTAATAGCATTACACTCTCAAATATAGCTGAACAAAAAGTATTCCCATGAACTGAATAAGCCAATAAATCTCAAAAGCAGAGTTGGCTAGTTTCTTAAAAGTGTACTCTAAGGGGCGCCTGGGTGGCTCAGTCGGTTGAACATCTGACTTTGGATATCAGCTTGGGTCATGATCGGGGGGTACCTGGATCAGGCCCTGCGTCCAGCTCTCGTCCCACCAGCTCCTCTCCCACCCTCCCTCTCATGCTAGCATGCTTGCTTGCTCTCTAAATAAATATTTTTTTTTTAATTTTTATTTATTTATGATAGTCACACAGAGAGAGAGGGAGGCAGAGACACAGGCAGAGGGAGAAGCAGGCTCCATGCACTGGGAGCCTGACGCGGGACTCGATCCCGGGTCTCCAGGATCGCGCCCTGGGCCAAAGACAGGCACTAAACCACTGCGCCACCCAGGGATCCCATCTAAATAAATCTTTTAAAAGTGTACTATAAAATCATAGTTTCTGAAGGCTCACTTTAAATGGGGAGATGTTATTGCGGTGCATTGGAAGGTTAAATACCCTTTTAGGATTACTTAATTCAGATGCATTTGACTTCTGCCACATTTTTATTGCAGCACAAGCTCTACATTTTCTGAAGTCACTAAATTTCTTGTTACAGTACAGGAAAAAGGTAAAGGGGGATGACCTTCGAATTCAGTCCTAAACAGCAACATGTTTGAGAGGCAATCATAAAACCAAACAAGGACATGGATAGAGCAGTGCATCACCAGAAAGCAAAGTAGAGAAGCTGCAGGCAAAAGCATAAAAAGGTCTTACTGACACATACCATGCTAATAAGCTCCTGCCTTTATGACAAACAAAACAAAAAAAACCCAAACAACTTTGTTCACATTGAAATGACATATATACTTTTGAAGGTAACAAAGTCACCATGGAGATACTTTTTCAAAAGGTAATTTCATTTTTTTCACACATTTGACCGTTTCACTGATAAACTAAGAGTATCACTTTTTAAAAAATACTTTGCTGTTTCTTTTTTGTAGCATTCTGTCCCATAATATTAACTTGCTCCACAGTCAAGTACCAAAAGTTAGTGGCAGGGCCTTGGCAATGAGTTTCTGCTATGCCAGCCTTCACTATTTTGACTGTGGATCTAGAACAAAGTTACAAATGTGTGCATTTTATGATTAGTGAGGTGATACAAAATTTAGAGATTCTTTCCTGAAGTTTGTTGAAAGAAATGAACGAATATTGGTACTCTTCCAGTTCAAGTGTTACAGACAATGCTTGAATTTATTCACATCTTTCTGGCATTTGCTCCTTCAAAGACACACGTTTTTAAATGTAGTGCCATGTTTGTTAGTTTGAGAACACTGACAACCTGGGAATCCCTTCATCTTTTAGCCTGCCTCTCCTCATACGTAAGCTGACACATCAGGGTGTCTGCTCATCAATACTATTGACACAACTGAGAACCCTTTGAATCAAAACACTGCAAAGGAAGTGTTATTGACTAACTTCTTGGCCATAAGAACTAGCTAACATCTTGTTGAAGAAACTAGATGAAAATCCATCATTTAACAGTTTTTGGATGTTGGGAGTATGAAGCCAGAAAACGGACATGCTCTTTCCAAGTGCCGAATCTGATCAGCAACACTTTAATGTACTATTGATGGGAACACGTACATCTATTGTGAAATGCAAGGAAAATAAAACCACATAAATACTTGAGACTTCAAGTCTTTGTCCCTAAATGCCCAAAGGTACACATTTCTCCTAAGAGCCTCCTGAGGACGGGAGTGAGAAGCACTGCTTGAAATAGAGCAGAGTATTTAAATGGTCCTTGGAGTCAATATTAGATGGCAGGTTTGGTGAGGTTTGGACTTGAGTTAAGATAAACCTTCCAAAACTGAGGCCATCAACTGACAGGAAAGTATCACCCTGTCAATTTGCCACTACTAATAAAACAACTTCAAAACTGGACTGATACGAATATATTTTCTTCTGGTCAAAATAGCCTCAAACCTTACTCAGCATCTTTCAGGTTAATCTACAAAAATTTTCTATTTTTATTTCTCTTTTGTATCAAGAAATCAGAAACACACCGATTGGGCTTTTTGCAAATTAGTGACTGAGCAAAGAACTACTCGTATTCTAACCTTATTTTTGTTCATAAGCTAGAATTACATTATTTACAAAGATAAAGGGGACCCCATTATAAAATGGTCACCTTTGGCAAATGCATGAATTGGGAGTAAGTTCCTTTGAAATTCTCCAAAAACTTAAAACTGTAAGGTGTATCAAATAAAATCAGTTCTACCAAATAAAAACTTCACATCAAAATACAAAGTTTAGTAATGGAGTGTCTTTTCATTTTCTTCTAGTAGGAAATTAGTATATTTTCATGAACAAAGGTAAAACGGTAATGAAAATAACTAGGCACAACCTCTCCTTTATCAGAAGATGATGGGTTTGTGAAAAGTCAAGGCAACAAAATAGGTCACTTTATGTCAAAGAATTCACAAAAAAAAGGTAGAATTCCAACTTCTTTTTAATCACTGAACTTCAGTTTTTACGAATAAACTTAGGACAATTCAGGTAACTAAGGTTTTGGGAGGAAAAACAGTTCTTACTTGTACATGAAGAACTATGACATGCTCAACTATTCTGTAAATAACTCTATTGACTGGATTAACATTTTCACAGAAACAAATTTTTTTTTAAAGCCAAAGATCACTGCGTTTGTATTTACAAAAAGCCATAAACAAACATGCATTTCTCCTTTACTAGGAGAACTTAAATGTTTGAACATTAAGGCAGTGACGATTCTAAAACAATGAAATTCTATGTTAAGGCTTTATGTTTGTTTTGAAACCCATAATCATAGGCCACTGTGACCAAAGCAAACTCTTATCTACCAGGTTGGGTTCATCTGTCCAGGATTTGTTATTCACTACCAACTATTCTTCTATGGGATAGGAATTAGTAATATTACTGATTTATTAGTTCACTCCTTAGGTTTTATTTTGAGGACTTAGCTTTCAGCAGCAATAAGCATGTGCCACAGAAGGAATTTTTAAAAATAAACTTAGAAAACGTACAGACTGCATCGATTTTTCCTTGACTGAAAGTTGGACAATCCTAAATACAGAAAACCTCCAAAGTATATTTGACTTGCTCCCATCTAAAAAACATGGATGTTCTTGATTACTGAAGTAACTGGTCTTCATCTCCTATTCTTCGAAGACTGTTTGATATTGCTGTCTAAACAAATAAAGCAACAAAATGCAGAATGCCATATTTTAGGTGGAATTTGTTCTATTCTTGCTATCCTCAAGGCACAAATAACATCCTTGCTAGGGCAAAGTTTCTCCTTATTCAAATAATATGAGGTGGATTAAAAGATTCACTTTAGAGTAACTGTTGATTGCACTCTCACCCTATTAAGTTTACACAAAGTACTGAAATTTAGGGGGGAATGTCCTTTTCTCTTTCCTTTTTTTTTTTTTAAATAAACACTTAGAGAGACAAAACTCAGATCCAGCCTACGGGAACACTCTGAGAAGCAGCTGTGGAGCACCACCCTCGCCTACAGGGGAGAGCAGTAGGGATGTTCCCCAGACACACTGCATTATGAGCTAACGGGCACAATTCCACACCCAGTGTTTCCACAGCTGGGATAATGAACAGTTACGTAGACTAGAAGGATCACTATTTACACTAAGTGCTTGCTGCTACTTCATGAAGCAGTAATTTTACAGCAACACGTCCTATGAGGAAAGTACGTACACTTAGGTTGGTATCAGCAATAGTTCATACAGAGGAAGAATGGCATGGACTACACGAAGATGGTCTCAAAAGCTAAAGACAGCTGTCATTTTCCTTTGTCTTCAAGTCAGAAAAAAGTGAGATGTCAAAGCAGATGAAGCTGCATGCAGCATGAGTCCCACGCCATCTAAGCACTGGTGCTTAAATCTGATGTGTGGCATCCGATTTCTTTAGATTTACTATCAGGAAACAGGGATTTCTAACAAGCACTTTCAAATATTTTAGGTGCAATTTAAGTTAAGCAAGTCACATTTCCACTGAAATGTTTTGATGATCTGAAAAGTCTACCCTAGTACCTGGTAAGCTTGGCTTCAGTTAATTGCTAGATGGGTTTTAAAGGTGTGAAATACACTTGTGTTCTTAAGATGGGAAGACTAACTGTGAAAGGGCAAACGTAGGCAACACAGAAACAATATTTTTAGATCAACATCTTACACTTTATAATACACTCACATTTATACACAAATTTCATGTTTACAAGTACAAAAGGCAAAAGACCCTCCAAGAATAGAAGTAAATGCATCAGTAACTACATTCAATAGTGTTAACACTGTTGTCCCACTCTCCCATTTTCCCAAACCTAGAAGGAAATTGTAACAGCTGTTGCACGCACGGACATCATTTTCAGAAGTTGGAGACTGTGTGTAGTTCCGCACATGTCTGGGTTTCTACAGAGCTAAACTGAGATTCCATTGTGTTCCAGGCCAAATCGGCCAGAAGAAAGTCGTCCATTGCTGTTTGAGTTTCGTTGCTGGTGAAGAACAAGCTCCCCAGGGTTTCGAAGCCGGAATTCATGGTTTGTGTTTCTGTACTGTTCAACTGAACTTTGCTCTCTATAGTAGGTATATTTTTAGCAGCGGAGATTCCTTCAGTTTGGGTCTCTGTGTCAGATGAATCAGTACTCATGGAAAAGCTGGAGTGTTTCAGGATACTTCCCAGAGGCAGATGGGGGCTACTGTCTAAAAAGAAGTTTAAGTCTGTCTGTGTCTGTGTGTCAAACATTTCAAGGCCTAAAAAGTTAGAATTTCCCCTACAACTATAGGACTGAGCAGAGGTGTCTGCAAGGAAGAAGTCTGTTTGGGTTTCTATGTCCAGTGATTCCAAGACAGGCTCAGTGGTTATGGTATTAAGCTCACTCTCTTCGGTTTGAGTCTGGATATTTGAGGCCGACAAGAACTCTTCAATATCAAAATCGATTGCGGGATTCTGGGTCGGGCCAGATGGAAGCTGGGGGTCAGGTCCAGTACTCGTGTCAGACAAAAGACTACGATTGTCCAGTGTCTGACTGGGCAGATTACTTGACAAGATGTTTTCTAAATCACTTAATAAATCTATAGTTTGGGTCTGATTATCTGTCATGTTCTGTGAAGGAAGCATACTGTGCTGTGCACTGAAGTTTATAATTGGTGCAGATTTCTCAAGATCTTGAGTTAAAGTCTTAGGGTGGTTCTGAGGTAACAAATCATGAGTGACAGTCTCTGCTACTAAGCTGCTGCTTATAATACTGTCTGTAGAAACACCATAGGATGGATGGACGCTCTCAAAAATGTCTCCACCCATTACAGCTTGGTCCATCTGTACTCTGTCATCTGTCAGATTATGCATTCCACTGGTCTGGGTTTCTCTGGAGATCCCACCTGACTGGTAACAGGCATCTATAAACGCATCAGTCTGAGCAGCTATGGATGAGGTCACCTTAGAACTGGGCAAAAACGTTTGCGTATGAACGCTAATGGGAAGGGAGACTTGAGAACCAAATGTCAAATCTGTTTGAGAACAAGAAGATACAGAGGAATCAGGGCCAGCCCACTGTGTGGAAGGTACGAAGTGCGGTGTGGCGTAAGATAGGTCTGTCTGTACGTTGATGGAAGATATGCTGTTCTTCTGACAGGTGTTCCCTAGTTCTTGTGAAGGATCAGACAGGCTCTTACCCAAGTTCACTTGAACACCTGTACTAATTGGCTCCATGGCCACAGGACTTACAATTTTTGAAAGAGGGAGACTCTCTTTAAGACAGGCAGCCTCTGAATCTAGGCCAAGGATGAGGGTTCCTACTGACAAGGGCAGTATGTGCACAGCGCCTGGGGCAGAACCTTGATGATCGACACCCAACACCACAGGCTGAGCCGAGGAGTCGGCTGTAGGCACGAAGACAGGCACGGGAGAAAACTGCATAACAGGAAGTTTCACCAGAGCCACCTTGGGCTTGGGTAAAAGCAACTTCTGAGGGTATCTTGGAGGTGGTGTAAGAGTCTGCTTTCCGGCATTAGAGCTGCAAGAGTCTTCAAAAGACGCGACCAGCTTTATTTCTGAAGTTTCCAGTTCCTGAGTGTCTGGTTTTGGAGCTGGTTGGGTACTCAGGGACTCAGTGGTCTTACTGGACAACTTCTGGCTGTGCAGGCAGCTCTCCATTTTCCTTTTTTTACTAGGTGGATCCCTGAAAACAAGGACAGAGTAAAAAGAAAACCAAGTTTAGGCTGCAGTGTTCTTCAACCCTGATGTTGCATCTTCAATTACTTATGCATGCTGCTCCCCACACCTACAGCAGAGGTCAGACTACCTGGTGAAGAGAGATCCATCCTTTTGTGCTCTTCTGGGCCTACTATATGGTGGGCAGAAGTTCAGGAACATGCAAGTAGGGAAGGAGGAAGCACATCTTTTTTGGGGGCAGACCTCTGAGTATTCCAGAACTCAGCTTAACTCTGCATGCACGAGGAAGCTACCAGGTTACATAATGCAACTTTTACTGTTTCTTTAAGTAGGAAGCTATTACTCCAAATATAAATCTGACCTTTAAAATGAAGTAGAGTTTCATGATAAAACTTAACTCTTCAAGAACCTAACATCCCTCTGATAGGAAACGCTGGAAGTTGGGATTTTCAATTGGGAAGAAATAAGGAAGAACAACTGGGTTAGGTAGATCTGGGTCCTCTGCTAGTACTGCTCACTTTTCTGAAAGTTCCCCTCTTCCATGTCACGTCTATTTTCCATTATTCCTCCTTTCTTTCTCCCTGCACTAATGGCTCACCAGAAGTTTCATCTGAAACTCTTCCCATAGCCACTGACTTCTGTACCACCATGTCTTCCCCTTTACCTGTGCTCTGCTGGGATCTCATGGCCAGTGCGGTAGATATGGGACTGTAAAGCAGTTCTACTGGCATAGGGACAGCCACACGTGCACTGGAAGGTCTTGCCACAATCCTCTGCATGCCTTTTCAAGTCCCACTCCGTGCCGTAGGAATTGCTGCACTTACTGCATTTATGCTTCTTTTCAGCATGCATTTTCATAAAGTGCTAGGAAGAACACAGAAGGGACCAAAGTGGAAAACTGCATCTGCTCAAAACATTTCACGTACCCATGTTAACAAGGAGTTTACATGACAAACTAAAGCAGTCTAAATCAAAAGGATGGAAAAGCAGGCAAACTGCAGTTTATCACATGCCCCTTCTCCCTGCCACTCCTGCTTTGTAAAAAGCAAGGACGCTGTTTGGAAATAATTCATAGCACTCACCGTTTAGGTTTTATAAATTAGTGCTGCAGGCAGGAAAACATCTGCCATGGTTTTCTCAGGACCCCTCAAGCAAAGCCTTGGACAAGTATTATAGCTGTCAGGCTCTGAGGCCCTATGTCACCGCTTTCCTCACTCGCTAGACTCCTCCCTTCTCCTAAGGCAGCAGCTTCGGAAACTTTTCCTGACTTCTGCAGCTTCGTACTTCCTTAGGAGAAGGAACTTTTCCTTTGTGCCTTTGCTCCTCTGGCCTTGGAGGCACACAGATTCACAAAGGATCTGGAGGACACAATTCTCATTTGCTGAACCAGTCTTCTTGTCTTTCTCTCCAAATTCACTTCTGTATGTCTTCTCCCCCAAACAAGCCACGTCTCCTTCACTCGTTTTATATCTTACCCATATTTTCCCCAACAGGGAGACTCTTGGGAGGCTATTCTCACAAGCAGCTTTGAGAGTCTTCCAGTTATGTTTGGTAAGTGATTAGAATGCATGTTAGGTTTATATCACCTGTATTTCATCCTCAGAGAAGTATACTTAAGACAAGTAAAATACCTGTTTTACGAGAGAAAATTGAGAAAATGGTCTGTCAGGGCCTCTAGGGCATCCTTCAATTGGACAACAGTAGAATTTCGGTACGGTTTTCAAATCTTTTCTTATTGTTGGATTTACTATGCCATCCTGCAAAAGAAAAAATTAAAGAATTATTAAAACAAAACAAAACAAAAAAACTGGTTGGGAGCAGAAACAAGGAATGACTAAAGATGGGTACAAGGGATCTTTTTAAGGGAGATAAAGATGTTCTAAAATTAGATTGTAGTGCTGGTGCACAACTATGTAAATCTAAATAATTATTGACTTAAAATGGGTAAATTTTATGGTGGATAAACTGTAGCTCAATAAATCTGTAAAAATTTTTCAAAACAAAAACACCCATGCTGTTTAAAAATCTTCTATCCATTCCTTTGAAACTCCTCCTTCTAAACTTAAAATCTCTGTCCTTAAAGCCAGCTTTCTGTTTGTAAGTGATATATTCACAGTTTCTCAGGCTCAAGATTTTGGTACTCCAGTTGTTTCCTTCCCTTTCATCCTACTCTCAATTATCGGGAGCTCCTGAAAAAACCTTTGACTATGGTCTAGGCCTTCCTCCTAGCATTATTACTTTCTCTCATCGTTGTACCACTAAAGTAGCTGAAGCTGGTCAACACAACTTTTGATATAGCAGCTTGAATATAGGCACCATGCTATGTTTGACATTTAATAATCATTACAGTAACCAGTACTTATATTGCTTTTATTTCTGTGTCAGGCATTTACATATATTAACTCCTATAATCCTAATCATCCTGTGTTATTAATAAGCATGTGATTGACTTTTTGGTTGGGAGTTTAAAATAACTGGTGACTTTATCTAAGCCTGAAGTGCTCTGTCTTGGTGTCCCTGATGAGCCCACATACTGCAGGGGTGAGAGGCCTATGACCTCCATTGTAATTTCCATCTGCCCTAAAGGAAGGTAGTGGTGGTGGTGAGGGGGATGGGTGGAGGTGGACCTCTCTATAGGTCACTGGAAACATCAGGACATACATTCATGTAAGCAGGGCTCAAGGGTACAGGAGCACCTGACTCTGGGGGTCCCAAAACATACGAAGTTTGGCCACTCACCACTGACAAAATCCAAAGGCAGTGAGATAAGTGGTAGTGAAACAAGAATGGGATTTATTTCAGAGAACATCACCAAGAAGACAGTGGACTAATATCTCAAAAATGGTCTGCAAAGTGCTGAAAATACTTCCAGGTTTATGTAAGGGTACGGTGCAAGTGGGCAGTGAAGGTCAGGTCAATCACTGTCTTGAGTTCAACCACCTGGGGTCTTGCTGGTGTAAAGGCAGTCCCTGTTGTTTGAGGGACTAGTTTTGAGTCCCCATCATGGGATGCTTTGCCTCCTGGGTCTTTTGGCTGAGTGAAGAGATAAGCTGGAAAGAACATAATCGATTAGGAAGTACAGACTGAAGTCAAAGTGGAGGTAGCAGAAGTCCCCATTCACTCAGGCCTCAGTTGCTACTGCAGCACGTAGCAGCTATTCTGGTCATCCAGTGTTCCGATGAGAAAAGAGTCATTACTTTTCGAACACATCCACTTCCTTTTCTACCATAAATGTTTCTGGAGAAGTGAGAAATGAAGAACCATGTGGCCAAGGTTCCTTCCCTTTGCCTTCCCAATGATCTCAAGAGGAACATGCTGATCTTGCTGAGTCTGTGTCCACTCAGAGGGGAAAAGAAGGTATTCTTGTTTTATTTTTAAACAATGTAATTTATCTTTCCATATCACATTCAATTAGTCCTCCATGTTTTCCACACTGGCCCACCCTTTTATAATCCTACTGTATTATGCTGCCTAGATATTCATATCCATTTGGGGTATTCAAATGGTCTCTTAAATACCAAAAACTTATTTGTAAGGGTCACCTAATGGTGTGTTACACCTCCAATCTCCCATTATAACCCTATCTTTTTTTCTGTTCCCTTTTCATACACCACCCTACTCAGTCTCATATTCTTCCTAATTACAATTGCACCTTCTATCAAGGCCCAATTTGTCCTACAACCTTCTGGCTCTCTACAGGCAGAATACAATGGTGGAAAAGGCACTTGGCATTGCAAGACCTATAAACCACTTCTACCACCAACTAGTAACCTCTCTGAGCCAGTTTACTCATTTCTGAGACAGATACAATAGTTAACTCTCAGGATTATTTTGTACAGGATTATCATTAAACTGAACCCAGAACACATTCTCAGTAAACAACACTCCTTGTTCTGCTTACCACCATCCATATCTAGAGCTTTATTTCCTGTTTGAATTCAAAGATAGTAAAACTTAAGCTATTTTATATATTACCATTTTTTCTAGAGTTCCTGTCTCTCCAACTAAATTTAAGGGCAGAAACACTTTTGCTCTTTTGTACACCTCTTGGTATTGTCTTAATGCTTAAAGAGAGCAATTGCCTGCTAAATGCAGAGCATTTTTTGAAAGGCAGGGTAGGGTAGTGGTTTCCAACCTGAGGTTCTGTGAAAAATTACCAGACGCTTAAAAAAATATCTCTGCCTGGTTGCAACTCCAGATATTCTGATACCATTAGTTTGGGTTAGGGATTAGGGATCCATATTTGGTTTTTAAATCTCCTCAGAAGATCCCAAAGTGCAGCCTAGCTTTGGAACCTCAGGGATAGTGGTTAAACCCCTGGGTTCTGGAACGTGGATTGCCATAGTTTGAATTCTCTACCTTGTCACTTTCCTGTGACCTTAAGAAGATGAACTGTCTTGGTTTCCTTATCTGAAAAGTAGGCAAAACAGGATCTACTTCAGGGCTGTTGTGGGGATTTAGTCAAAATGTATAGGGTTTAGAATAGTGTTTATCACATAATCACTCAGTTATTATTGCTGAGTTATTTGCTGCGGAGAGTTTTGTGTCTTCTTTTGCTTTTTGCCAACAACTTAATGCCAATGATCTAATCTAAACCAGTGCTTTACATTAAATACTGTCCTTATGAAATTCTGACTGAAAGGCTCTTCTGTTGAAACACTTGCAGCTGCTAGCTTTAATAACTGCCATGGTCTCATCACCAAACTTATCCTATTCACCAAGTCATCTAGTGTTTGTTTGTTTTAATGAAATACTTTCAGTTAACTTCTATTTTTCCATTTAGTGTTATCAGCAAGAGAGAGCAAAATGTGGGAAGAATATTAAGGGAGACTCAGAAATCTTTCATTTACCTGACAATTATAAAATTCCTCTTAGTGATGTGCCAACGACATGGCCCCTTTCTGTTCCAGGTTGTTCGGATGTTCCACAAAACTGCCTACAGGGTCACTACAAAATTCACACTCCCTTCTAATATACAGCTCTGCTTGGCATGCCTCTTATGATCCCTTTTCAAACTCCCAATCATATTCTCATATACCTCTTCACTTCACTTTTAAAAAATTATTTTTTTAGAGATGTTTTAGGTTGATAGGAAACTGAGTAGAAAGCACAGAGAGTTCTCATGTATCTCTCCCTCAGCAAACAGGTACAGCCTGTTCCACTATTAGCAATTATCCCCTACCAGAGTGGTACATTTGTTACAGTCAGTGAACCTACACTGGCACATCATCATCACCTAAAGTCCACAGTTCGGTTTATTCTTGCTCTTGTACATTCTTTGCTTTTGACAAATGTGTAATGATATGTATCCACTGTTACACTACCACACACTATTTTCACTGCCCTGAAAATCCTCTCTGCTACACCTATTCATATCATTCTTCCCTTTAAACCCACCCTGGCAACCACTAATCTTTTTTGCCTTTTCTGGAACGTCATATAGTTGGAATGATACAGTATGTACCCTTTTCGGATTGGCTTCTTTCATTGAGTATATACACTCACACCTAAATTCCTTCCATGTCTTTCCCTGGCTTGATAGCTCATTTCTTTTTAGTGCTGAGTAATATGCCGTTTTCTGGAGGTACCGCAGTTCATCTATCCATTCACCTACTTTGAACATCATGCTTGCTTCAGAGTTTTGACAATTAAGCACTTCTCTTAACGTGGCTGCTACCACTTCCCTCACCCTTCCTTTCTCACTGTTACATCACTAGTTCAAGTCATCCTGACTCTCTGGGCTTTCATCATTAACCCCTTAACATCTCTAGAATTCCAATCTTTTTCATTCACACTTTGCCAGATTAATTTTTCTAAAGTATAGCTCTGATCATGTCATTACCTCATTCAAACATTTTTGGTGGCACCCCAAATCTACCCGAGTCCAAATTTCTCTAGCTTGAGACATTCAAGTCCCTTACTATATAGCTCTGAATTGCCTTTCTCTTCTGTTATTTACCTGTTTTACCTAATGGAATTACTTAAAATCCCCAAACCTTTTCAAGAGGAGGAATGTATTTATACCTTCTGTTGCATTTGGGAATGTCTGGATGGAGTAAATGTTCAGTAAAAACCGGGAGCATTATACTGAACATGTTTGAGTGGCCATCTAAGCCAAAACCGTATCATGCACCAAGATTAAACACTAAAGACTGCCATGCTGGACATCAACAGTCCCATTGTCCTGTTGTTGCCTTTATCACATGGCATGGCAACATGTTTATCAGGCATGGCAACAACCTGAGGCAGTTCACACTTTGCTTTTCTAAGGGCCAATTGATTCCTCAGCCTCCCCATGACCATCCCTCCACCCTAGTTCCGGGGCCTCCCTCCATCCCATTCTTGTCCTGAGACAATACACTCAAAGGATAGGATGGGTGAAGATGAGAATGGGGAGATAAGAAATGGGGATGGCACAATACCACATGTGAGAAAGTCATCTTTTGTTCAATATGCTCAAGAACAAAATTCACCAGACTTTTTGTGCTTTATCTTTTATGTGCGAAACTAAAAAGAGAACATAAAGGGATCCCTGGGTGGCGCAGCGGTTTAGCGCCTGCCTTTGGCCCAGGGCACGATCCTGGAGACCCGGGATTGAGTCCCATGTTGGGCTCCCGGTGCATGGAGCCTGCTTCTCCCTCTGCCCGTGTCTCTGCCTCTCTCTCTCTCTCTCTCTCTCTCTCTCTCTCTCTCTCTCTGTGTGTGTGTGTGACTATCATAAATAAAAAAAAAAATAAAAAAAATAAAAAGAGAACATAAAAGATACTTCATGTTTTGCATTCCTTTTTGGGGTACCTGTTACTTACAAAATGTTTCAAAGCAAAAAACATTTCAAAAATGTTTATGAAACATTTTAAGTAAAAGAATTTGGAAAAAAATCTAGGAGAGAAAACAATCAAAAAACAAGATGGAAAAAAGTAAATAAACAGAAGTAAAGAAAAGCAGGAGTATGGACACACTAAGGAGAAAAGGTAAAAGGAAAGGCTTGGAGGAATAGTGGCAAAAATTGGGGAAAAAAAGGCACCATACTCTACACTTGACTGCCTTCATAGAAAGCAACCAAAAAAATCAGTTTGCTCTGTTGTCTTCTCATTGTAAAATTTAAATTCAGATGTCTTTATACAATATGGCCTATAGAGTGACTTGGAGCCTTTCTTTTCCTTTTTTTTTTTTTTTTTCTTTAACAACAAACAACAAAACTTTCAAAGCAAATCATTCAAAGCAAACCCTGGACTGAACATAATACAAAAAATCCTTTAAGCCATGTTTTAAAAATATAAATGCTGCTGGGTAAGAGGTTCTTTAAGGGCCCTCCTGTTCCCTTCACTGCTTTCAAGCATGAGGAATAAAAGAACCTCTAACAACTGAAAAATGTCCATTTACTCCTACTCTTCCTTTCCCTTAATCCCCAGCTTTCATTTCCCCAGGGACTCCCCCTGTAGGTAAGGCTAGACAGGGTTATTTCCAATTTCCTTATAGGAGATGGAATATAGACATATCTCATAAGAACCCACATAAAACCAAAAGGCAGTATGTCCTTACACCTTACAATTCAATCCCCATTGTTTCCCATCATCCTTCAGAAAGGTTATTTACATTAAGAAGGGAATATTTATTTGGGGGCAGGGTAGTACCTTGTGAAGAAAGTCTAGAATAAAATAAGGACCATACAGCAACTAATGGGGAAGGAAATAAAAGATTATAATAACCTAGAAAAAATGAAAACTAGGAAAGAAACTATAATTTTGCAAGTAGTTGTAATCAAGAGAATCAGAAGGAAAAACTCCCAATGAATATTATGCAAATCTGCCAAGCAGATACACTCAGACCACCTTCAGAACAGAAAGTAGGCACACACTTGACTGGTACCAGAGTCTCTCCAAACAGCTTTCAAAACTACCCAGAGCTCCCAGTTGGCTCTTGTCCCCAGGCCACCTCCTTCTAATACTTTGAAAACAAGTGTCAAGGGTAATGTTTGAACTCAAGAGCCTTCTAAACAGGATGCAGACCGAAAATAGAGGTTCACCACACTGGGGCATCACTGTACAGGTATGTCTATTTTGTCACAGAAGTCACCTTCATTAAAGAAAATGAACTCCTTTCCTCCAATACAGCAGAGGCTCAGGGGTTTCTAGGTGTTATGGTTAAAAAGGCAGAACAAGGGGGGAATCCCTGGGTGGCTCAGCGGTTTGGCGCCTCCCTTCGTCCCAGGGTGTGATCCTGGAGTCCCGGGATGGAGTCCCAAATCAGGCTCCCTGCATGGAGCCTGCTTCTCCCTCTGCCTGTGTCTCTGCCTCTCTCTCTCTGTCTCTCATGAATAAATAAAATCTTAAAAAAAAAAAAAAAAAAGGGCAGAACAAGGCAGGAAAGCGAGCTCCTTGGTCAAGAAAAACACAAAACAATGATGGTTCTGGGTGATTTAATTCCTGCTGAGATAGGTCTCCTTAATGACCTGCGAAGGAAAATCAGGAGAGTCCACTTTTCCCTTCAACATTTTTAGTTGAGAAAGGGATCCTGAGTGCACTCACTGTGCTGTCTTCACACAAGAGACATGTGAAAAATGGCGTAGAAGTGGGAGAATGACTTCCCACAGGTTCTAAGCAAGGGAGGATACTGCTGCTTTGAAACGTCCAGGTGAAGATTTGACTATCAAAATTTGTATTTGCCTCAAACATACTCCTGTGTGTTAAGCCTATTATACTTTATATTTTGTATATGTATTGCATATTGCATGTGTTTGTATATTTTGTATATGTATGGCTATCTTCATTATTCTTAAACTTTACATATTTTAAAAACACAATTAGAAATAAAATTCTTAATATGCTATCAAACTAGTCCTGAAGAGTGTCACAGAGTCTTGAGTGAGAGAGAGAGCGTGCTCCAGATAGCAATTCCAGAGAAAAGAACAATAAAACTCTCACAAAGTGCTTGTTAGAGTGATCTCTGGGCCAATACAGTCCTGGTCAGGGCAGCAGCTTCTCTTGTGCACAGAGATGTAAGGTGTCCTGGCTGTTCCTCATTGAGGACATGATACTAAAGGTGCGTGTTGGCCGTTGTATATGAATTGAGAGAACCAAAGGATGTACAGTTCCTACAAATACATAGTTCAATTACCTAGGTTAAAATATAAAGAAAAGGAAGGATTTCGTTAACAATACGAAACAGAGAACCCAAGACCGAAGGCCATTCCCAAAGACCACGGAAGAGTTACTGCACTTGGGTCCTGGAAGAAAGGGAAACTATTCTGAGGGAAACTGCTGGCCCACCTGCAAGGCCGCCCTCAGCACATTTCCTAACAGGGCTCCCTCTTCTTTACGGGGAACGACGTTGCATCTGCTCAGCTGGTGCCAGATGGGGACTGCCTCTCATGGGAACACGTCAGCCCTACTAGAGACTATAACCTCACACCTCCTGCTAAATTCTTATCAGAAGCCTGATTCTTGGGCAGCGCGGGAGGCTCAGCGGTTTAGCGCCGCCTTCATCCCAGGACGTGATCCTGGGGACCCTGGATTGGGTCCCACGTCAGGCTCTCTTCATGGAGCCTGCTTCTCCCTCTGCCTGTCTCTCTCTCTCTCTGTCATGAATTAAAAAAAAAAAAAAAAAAGCCCGATTCTAAGGGAATCTCCAGGGAGGCTACCCGAAGGGCAGACAGAGCAGGCACCATGCCAGGGTCATTCCAACTCATTCCTGAATCAATTCAGAGCGTCAAAAGCTGCGTTCACAAGGCCGCTCTGCGCGGCACGCACGCTCTGGAATCATGTCACCGCCGGCCCAGAGAGAAGCGAGTGACAAGTGGTGGAAGGAAGCTTCCTATCGTAATGACTGGGAAGCTGTAACCTAACAGGTCTAGGGTGGGCCCAGACATCTGGATTTTCAATGAGCCTTCCACGCACACGCGCCGAAGGTCAGAACCCACTGCCCCACCCTACAGAGGGTGGAAGGGACGTCCGCACTATGGTCCTGCTGGCTCACGGGTCCCTTTGGAAAGGCCCGCGGGAGAAATCTCCCTTAAGGTCTCATTCCTGAGCAAACCGGATCCTACCAACGCTGCGAGAAAACTTTCCGACGGGGCTTCGAGGCCAATCTGCGGCTCCTTCAGGCTGAGCCTCGAGGCCTGAGGGCGGGATCGTGCGCGGGCTGAGAAGCAGCCAGCGGGGTACAGCCCCGCGCGGTCCGGCCGCGCAAGCAGGATGAGGCGGACGGGCCTCACCGAGCGGCCGGGAACGACCGAGGTCGCAGGGCGGGCCGCCCGGGCCGCGAGGCCGGAGCCGACGGCGCGGCGCATGACACAGGGTTTTCCGGCTGCGCGTCCCTGCGCGCTCGCTCCACGCTGCCCCGCCGCGACCCCGGCCGGTTGGACGGCGGCCCGGGGCTGCACGCGCACAGGCACACGCGCACAGGCACACGCACACGCGCACAGGCACACGCACACGCGCACACGCGCACAGGCACACGCGCAATCACGGCCGCGGCGCCCCGCACGCCCGCGCCCGCGCCCCCGAGCGCCAGGCCCCAGGAGGCGCCGTTCGGCCGCGGGCTCACCTGCAGGCGGTGGCTCTTGACCAGGTGCATGTTGAGCGCCGGGCTGTTGGGCAGGATCTTGCCGCAGCCGCGCACCGTGCACAGGATGTTGGTCCGCACGGCCCGGGACAGCTCGCTCACCGACGGCTGGATCAGCTCCCGGGCCGGAGGCGCCGGACCCGCGGGCTGCTGCCTCGCCGCCGCGGGCCGCGGCCGGCTGCCCCTTAGCCGTCCGGGGGGCCCCCACGGGCCCGAGGCGGCGGCGGCGGCGGCGGCGGCGGCGGCGGCTCCCCTCGCGGCCGTCGGGACGGTCGGGGCGCCCGAGGCCAGGGCCGCGGACCCCGCCGCCGCCGCCGCCTCAGAGGCCGCCATCGCTCCCGCACGGCAGAAGGGCCGAGGGAGCAGGCCCCACCTCCCGCCGCAGCCACTTCCGGCAGGGGGAGGGGCTTCCAGGCTCATTAGCATCCGGCGGGGCCGGGACGGCCGCGGCGCCCCCTGCCGGCCGTGGAGGGCGCGTCTGCGGGAGGCCGCCGCAGGCGGGGCGTGGGGGGGGGCGCCCCTAAACGCCCCAGGGGTTCCTGCGAACAGGTCCAAGGATTGGTCCCTCGGATCCACCTTCATCTTCCCGGAAAACTTAACCTGGGGCAATAACCGGACAGAAGAAAAAGCAGTATGTCCAGGAACTTTATTTCCCCAAAGGTTAGAAACAACCCAAATGTCCAGCGGCAGGAGAGGCAATACGTGTTTTCCTCCATTTTGCAGAGAAGTAACTAGCCCTAGGTCGCATCATACAAACCAATGAGTTGCTATGATTGAGTTAATCATTTTAAGAAGGCTGGATTTACTTGCCCGTGTCGTCTTCTTCTTCTTCTTTTTTGGCCTGGGACAGTATAGCTCAGGGCAGGGCTCCAAAGCCTAAGAACTTGGAAGGACTAGCTAGACCCGTGAATGAGCATTGGGGGGGATCCCATCCCTGGGTGGCGCAGCGGTTTGGCGTCTGCCTTTGGCCCAGGGCGCGATCCTGGAGACCCGGGATCGAATCCCACGTCGGGCTCCCGGTGCATGGAGCCTGCTTCTCCCTCTGCCTGTGTGTGTGTGTGACTATCATAAACAAATAAAAATTTGAAAAAAAAATGAGCATTGGAGGCCAGGTGTAGACAAAAGGGAGAAGGGAGGACTGCAGTGAAATGGAAAATTCATCCTTTGTTTAAAGGGGGGAGGGCAGCTGCTATTCATCTTTGGTATCACTAGATCTATTTTTTGACGGCTTTTGTGTGAAAACTTCTGACTTCTAGATGAGCAGCTGTACTAGTTTTCCATTGCTACAGTTACAAATTACCATAGTCTTAGTGGCTTAAAACAACACAGATTGGTTATTTTACAGTTCTGGAAGTCAGAGGTCTGACACAAGTGTGAGGTTAAGGTGAAAATGTGAGCAGGGTGGCATGTCTTCTGGAGGCTCTACAGAAGAATCTGCTGATTTGCCTTTTCCAGCTTATCAAAGTTGGTAATGGTGAGTGGAGTCTCTGTCACATCACGGACTTCTCCCTCTGCTCTCTCCTATTCCTGTTCCACTTTTGAAGACCCTTGTGATTACAGTGGCTCCATTTAGGAAATCCAAAATAATCTCTCCTTTGCAAAGTCCTTTTGCCTTGTAAGGTAATATATTTATAGATTCCAGGGATTAGGATGTGGATATCTTTGAGTAAGCAGGCATTATTCTGCCTATCACAGAAGCGAATTCTGATTTTAAAAGTACTGTGAGACCAAAAAACCCCAGGTGTGTGGGATAGCACCCACAAGCTATTGTGTCTTTCTAAGAGTGCAGGCTCTGAAGTCTGATTGCCTGGGGCTAATGTGGGCTCAGCCACTTACCAGCCTAAGCTTTGCTATTCACTTCAGTAGAATAAGACTAGTAATGCTCCGGCCTTATAGGATTGTTATGAAAGTAAGATAAGGCACATAAAATACTTAGCACCGACATAGTAAGTACTCCATAAATGTTAGCTATTCATTTTTATAATAAATTCCTCTGGCTGTAGCGGTCTTTGGGTCTACACTTACTGATCCATCTGTTCCCAAGACTGCATCTGGATGAATGCAGTATGTGTCTCTGGATCACCAAGAACATAAAAGAAGTTCTAGTGTAAGTCAGCGACATACGAAGAAATTGAACTCCCCTCTTCTATAGAATTGCACCAAATTATACCTTTAAATTTAAAGAATAATTCCTTTTAAAGAAGAACTGAGGGATGACTAAACATCAGGTACATAACAGATAAAGAGTTCCACATATTCTCATTTCCTCAAGCAGGTGCCTGTCTCGGAGGGCTGCAAGGTGCAGCCTCAAGTGATTCCGCTGTAGGGTGGGTAATAGAATTAGTGTCTTCCTTGTTCAGGCTCCAACTGCACATCACTGCCAAGCACCAGGGAGGGCAGGAGCCTGTGAGGAACCATCCCCGAACCAGCAGGGCCTCTGTGCAGAACTAACAGAGGCGTTCAGGCACCGAGCAAAAGTGCCCCCCACATGTGTGCACACAGGGACAGGTGCTCAACACCATGTCTATGGTCTATAAGGAAATTAGCATTACCGAGCCCCTGCAGACTCAGTGCCTCACTGAGATAATGGAAGTGTCTATACCATTTGCTATTTAAGTCAAAAAACATATTTTTTTGCATATCTATAATCTGTAGATAGTACCATCACAGCATAAAGTATTCTTCAGCCCCACTTCTCTGACTGTATTTACATATCTGCATATTAAGCCTGTTTTTGGTTTTCTTTTTCTTTCTTTTTTTTTTTTTTTTGGTTTTCATCAAAAGTAATTGATGTACCAGTTTTTAAGTATCTTCATTCACAAATTCATGTTTTCTTCACTGCTTTGCCCACTGGCTGACACCATTTCAATTATTCAAACTTCTAGCAGCTGGAGGTACCTGTATGTATGTTGTTACATGACTATTTTATCATCATAATATCTGTTTTTATACCCCAAATCCTTTGTGGAACAAAATAGGGACTAGATTTTGAAACATAATTAAGAAAGGACATGCTACTTAGTGATAATCACTGAAAAATTTCCATCAGAAGTAACTGATATACCAGCTTTTCAATCTTTATTCATAAATCAGTATAATATGGTGAGTCTTAATATATGATAAAACAGATTATGAAAAATATCATATTTACAATGAAACCATTAATTTATATTACTGAATCATTTGATATGCTACCTCCTGCAATAGCATCATGGACCCAACTCTACCCTTTGAATGGACCAATTATATGATTTTCCTAGGAAGTTTTGAGTTAAGGATAGTTTATCGCTGCTTCTTTCCAGGATCCAAGTCTTCAGACAAATCCCTGGAAACAAGCAATTAGAACCTGATTTCTCCAGGATGGAGGAGAAAAAGGACATGTCACTTTTTAAAAGCTCACAGTTGCTATGCTTTGCAGGATATGGGAGAGAGGGGTACACAGTGGAGGAATACAGAATCAATCCCAATAAATATACTGAACATTTGTGAACTGTCAATATCAATAATTAATTTCTAAAACACAAGTTCATACACAGAAGCTATCCTGCTAGCTGTTAATTAAATGCATAGACAATAGTCAAAGAGATGCTGTGCTTACAAAAACCACATACATCTTATTTATCTTTAATTCTAAAATAATTCATCCCCTTATTGGGTATGCAAGTGAGCAATGGAGAAAGTGGTGCATCTGCAATACCTGAAATTAAAAAAGAAAAGAAAATGAGTCAGTTTAACAATGGCCAAGATTTGAGGGCAGATTATGGACCCTCATGATGTGCAGAAGCAGAACATGCAAAATAGGGCATGAGGGGATAGCAGATGAGAGCCAGGAGAACACTTAAGAGGTAATTAGCCAGCCAAGAGAGAGGATCGAATGTAGTCTGCTGTTAATTCTTCCTGCCTGTAAAATAAGCTGACTACTTACCAGCTGGTGCTAAGGATTTCAATGCTTCTAGAAGATGCGGGCTGGAGAACTTTATTAGGCACCGGAGGGGCTCTTTTCTCTCCGCCAAGATGTCTCCATTGAAGTCACTTTTGAATTTTGTTTCAAGCTGTCAATGAATATATTTATAAATAACTACTAAATATATCAGCTGGAATGGCAAACTATAATGGAATCAGGTTATGCATTTTATTAATTCTTGTCATCAAGAAATACAGGGATTAAGGGGTGTGTGAGCCACTTAAATTTGCTAACTGCAAATGTAGAGGAAAAACCAGTGTTATCAAATGGTATCACACATAAAATACTTGGCACCTGACACACAGGAGACCTGGGAGGTCAGTTCCACCTTCAGGTGACCTGAGCATTTAGTATGCCTTCTTCTTCTTCTTTTTTTTTTTTTTTAAAGATTTTATTCATTTATTTGAGAGATCCAGCAAGCATGAGTGGGGGGAGGGGCAGAGGAAGAGGGTGGGGGAGAAGAAGGCTCAGGGAGCCGGAGCCAGATGCAGGGCTTAATCCCAGGACTCTGACACATGACCTGAGTTGAAGGCACATGCCTAACCCACTGAGCCACCCAAGTGCCCCCTAGTTTGCATTCTTAACAGCAAATTAGCACCATCTTTTGTAATCTGTCATTTTGATGCAAAAGTATGTCTTTTGAGTCACTACCACTATTTATTTTTACCTAATCATGTAAGATTTCAAAAGTACACAATAGTAAGGAACACAATATAATAAGCCCCGTGTGCACATCCTGCAGCTGAAACCATTATCAATTCACGGCTAGTCTTGTATCATCTACAACCCTACCTCCCCGTTCCTTACTGACCACGGCAATCGGATTATTCTGAAGTAAATCCAAGACACGATACTAATCCATTTAATATTTCAGTATGTATCTAAGAAAGACCTGAGAAGGACTCTTTTTAAAAATTTCACCATAACATTACCACATCAAAAAAATTAGTAACAACCTCCCAATCCTTTAATAGCATCAAATATGCAAATCCACTGCTTCAATAGGTACTTGAGTTTTAGACTCTAAGTTCAATTTTTTTTAGTTAAAATGACTCTTAAAATTTATTTTTATTTATTTATTGTTAAAGATTTATTTATGTATTCATTCATGATAGACCTAGAGAGAGAGGCAGAGACACAGGCAGAGGGAGAAGCGGGCTCCATGCCGGGAGCCCGAATCGGGACTTGATCCCGGGACTCCAGGATCGCGCCCTGGGCCAAAGGCAGGTGCCAAACCGCTGAGCCACCCAGGGATCCCCGACTCTTAAAATTTAAAGGCAGTATCCTGAAATATTTGGAGGTTGAGTAATGTCTGCAACTACCTCAAACGGTTCAGAATAAATCAACAAAAAGAAATTAAGTAATTGTGGCAAAATGTTAACAACTGGTGAATTGAAGCAAAGCGGAAATAGGTGTTCATTGTAATATCCTTGCAAGTGTTCTGAAGGTTTGACATTTTTCAAAATAGAAAAAGTAGGGAAAATTAAAAGCTTATATGAATCAATGTGTACCTTGACTTATAGAGTATAGCTATTCTAAACTGTATATACAAACTGAGATTTGTGGATTCTTACTTATTCCTGATCAATGGTTCTCTTTAGTGGGCAGAATCAGCCAGAGGGCTTGTAAGAACAGATGGTTGGGTCCCACCTCCAGAGTCCCTGATCCAGTAGGAGGACCACAGTGGGGCCAAGAATCTGCATTTCTTACCCATTCTCAAGTAATGCTGATATGGTGGGTCCAGAGACCACATTTGGGAACCAGTGTCCTAGAGTATGGGCTGTGCAAAGGAACTGGGTTAAAACTGCCATTTAGGGAGCACTAAGTGAAAGATATCAATCACCTTTTCCCACTAAAAACAAATTAAAGAAAATAGGTGTCAGGCTTGAGTGATCAGATGAATGGCAGATTTAAAGTATTGCCTGTGGCTGTAGGGGGTGCTACGCAGAAAGAATTTTACTAGACGGGGGAGGGTGTTGAATGCCAAGTATTAGATTAGGGCAATCATCATATGAACCTTGAATTCTTCTATTGGGGGCACTGGGCTTGCCCCTAAGCTGGCCTTCTTGGTGGGCAGTGGCACACTTCTGGAATGAGCTAGATTCGCAGTATTGACTAGGCTACTGGTTTTTCTCCTGTGATGCCAACTGGGTTATGTCATGACTTATTTTTTTTCATTTATTCTTTTGTTCAACAAGTATTTATGAGCACCAACTATGTGTGTTGCTCTAGGTGTGGATGGGCTAGAAAGGTAGAACTTACAATTTTCTCCCCTCAAAAATATAGATTGTTGCCAGTTATACATAACTAAATTAATATGTAAGATTAAATAAAGGTAAATTCATAATTTTGAAAAGTCCCCTTTGCTAACAGAGGCACTTAATAAATATGATAAAGATGTCTATCCTAACTCATAAATTCATTATGCAAAATTAAAGTGATACTATACCTATTGTGGTAAGTAATGTATAGAACTGCTGCATCACTGCTGTACACTTAAAACTGCTATAACATCGTGTGTCAACTCTATTCAATAATTAGAAAAAAATTAAAAAAGAAAAAAGTGATAAAGGAAAAGAAAGTTTCTTAAAGCTGTCCACTTAAAGTTTTTGTTCTTTTAAACAAATATGGATAACTCATAGTTCACATTTAGAGCAAAGTCCCACCTTATATTGTGCGAATTCTAGTCTTGGTTGAGAATAGTCTCCAAAAGTTTCCTGAGTAACTCTCTGGACTCTCTCTTTTTCTATTCTGTTTTCATGAATGATCCGAGAATCCACTAAATATGGAAGATTTCAAAAGAAAACAGATATTAGAAATGTATTTCATCCGTAAAGTATCCTCTTTTCATTCCTTTCAACTTGCTCGTGTCATTTAAAAATAATGTTTAGTTTCTTCTCTTGACTGCAATAATTCCTTATTAAAGCAAAGTTGCAAAGCACAGGCTGATAAATAAAATAAAAATCCCCCATTCTGCCAATGCATAGAAAGCACTGTTAACATTTTAATGTATTTCTGTCTAGCCTTTTCCTTAATGAATAGAAAGATAAGTATTTTCTAAACTGAGATGATAAAATACACACAATTTTGCATACTGCTTTCTCTACTTAACATGAAATTAAGGGCAGTTCCTATGCCATCGGAAAGTCATAAAAATGTTTATTCATAACTGCTGTACCATTTCATTTTATTGCCAAATCATTGCTGAGAGATAGGAAAATGTTCATTTCTATAAATCTAGATTGTATCCCACCACTCTTCTCAACTTTCTAGTTCACTTCAGTAGTTTCTTACTCTCTTCTCCTGGGTTTTCCAGGAGACACTCCTGCCATCTTCAAGTAGCAACAAAGTCACCATTCTGATTATTCAAGGATCAGTTTATCCAGTGCATTTGGAGACAGGGCTCCAGGGCTCCACACTCAAGAGAGATTTGGATTTCACACCTGGCTTTGGTGATTATTAGCTGTGTAACTTTGCCTAGCAAGTTACTAAACCCTTCTGAATCCCAGCTGCCTGATGAATAAAGGACTGTTCAGGAGACCACTATGAAGATGAAGGAAGTGATACCTATAAGCATCTGAGTGTGGTGCTTGGCACAACAGAAATGCTTGATTATAAGTTAATTTTTAAGTGTTATTATTTGATGTTCTAGTAAATTCTAAAAGGAACCTATGGTAGCTTAGTTTCCCTTTTCATTAAAAAAATTTTTTTTTAAAGATTTTATTTATTTATTCATGAGGAGACCGAGAGAGGCAGAGACCCAGGCAGAGGGAGAAACAGACTTCCCACAGGGAGCTCAATGTGGGGCTTGATCCCAGGACCCCAGGATCATGACCTAAGCCAAAGTCAGACATTCAATCACTGAGCCACCCAGGTACCCCCCCACCAATTTTTTTTTCTTAAATATTTTATTTATTTGAGATAGAGAGAAAACGTGAGTTGTGGGAGGCGCAGAGGAAGAGGGAAAAGCAGACTCCCTGCTGAGCAGGGAGCCAGACATGGGATTGATCCCTGGACCCCAAGATTATGACCTGAGCCAAAGACAGCCAGCCTCCCAACCCATTGAGCCACCCAGGAGCCCCTTAGTTTCCCTTTTCAACAGAAAGTTAATTTTCAATTTTTCTGAAAGCAGTAGATAGTTTTGAATCCGGCTCCTAGGGAATCCCTGGGTGGCTCAGTGGTTTATTGCCTGCCTTCGGCTCAGGGCGTGATCCTGGAGTCCCAGAATTGAGTCCCACGTCGGGCTCTCTGCCTGGAGCCTGCTTTTCCCTCCGCCTGTGTCTCTGCCTCTCTCTTTCTCTGTCTCTCATGAATAAATAAATAAAATCTTAAAAAAAAAAAAATCTGGCTCCTAATGATTAGATGTTTTACCAAGTGACAGAAATCTAAAAAGCAATGATGTGCTTCCAAATTTCGGTTTTATCTTAAAACACACATACTGTGTATATCCAGCTCCAGGGGCTTTTCCTGCAGAGGTGTAGTGGAGTTGTAAGTTTCAAAGGTCTAAAAAAAGAAAAAAGAAAAAAAGTGAATCTTTTCCTAACTTTTAACATCTTGAAATATAAATAATAAATGGTTTTAGTACATAACAGCTTGTCAAATCTTATCTTTATTTATTTATTTATTTTTCAACAGAAAGAGATTTGAGGCCACATCCAGGCTGAGTTAAGCATTCCTCCCAGAGCAGGAGGCTGGCAGAGGCTGCTGGGCCAGCAGCATGTCTGTTTTGAATGAGAAGCTCTGTACTTTGTTAGCATAAAAATGATTCTGGATGAAGCCTGGGTGGTAAGTGGAAAAGCTAGAAGAATCCCAGGCAGAATTTGCAATGTGATGCTTCAGCTTTATAGCTCCATCTTCATTACTGTAAAATATTCCCTGACGCTCCTTTTGGAAAAATCATTTTGCTACTGAAGCCAATCTCTTAATCCCATTTTACTTGCTGTTGATGTTTTTATAATTAAGCATGTGACAGTGTGAATTTTCCTAAGAATGCAACTGTCATAGCAGAACAGGTGGGAGGGTGGAGGGTAAGAGGGGAGAGGGTTACTGTGGGCAAAAACCATTAACGTAGTGTTAGATTTTTTTTCCATAGAGTGGCTTGCAGAGAGCCATCACTTCTTTCTACTTAAAAGAGATGAAAATACACATAAATATAACATATCTAAGGGCTCAAAGATATACCCAGAGCACTAACAATCCATCTACAGGAGTCTAAACATATGAGCACACTGTTGCCATGCAGAGAAAATAATCCTGAGTCTGAGTAAAGCCAGATCTCTTATCATGAAAGGAAACAATGCCTTCAAATAATTTCAACAAACAAATAAATTGTGGGATTTAATAATAAACCAGTGCTTTCCCCCTTCCTTGTAATTCCTATATCACCTGCTTGACTAATGGGACAAAAAAATGAATTCTACTTCTCTCGGGCATAATAAAATAATATAATTAGCTTTGAAAGACAGTGTCAAGTTACTCCAAATATAAATTCTAACTGGAATAGCTGATTTGGAAACTGGGATCTGTAACAAACTCTAGTGAATAGTATAAAACACAATGCAATTTAACAAAGAGGACAGTGAGGCACTGTGGTTTCCTTTTATGTTAACTCACTAAAGGCTTTTTTCCACTTCAGTAATATCGGAAATAATCTCCTTCTGTTGGAGGTGGATTTTCCCACCTGCTCAGATGCTTCTAACACAAGTGTGAACGAGAAAATGGAGATGTGCTTACCTGATTATACTGTTTAAAAACAATAGCCTTCAGAGAGTCCAGATACCGGCTTCTCAGGTCCATTTTCACAATTTTATGGTGATTGCTAGCAACTGTCAGTGCCTGGAAGTGAAAATTGGCAAGACTATTAGGATTACCACGTTTATCCCCCAATATCTGTAATAACTATAATATTTGGTTAAATTTTTGTATTAAGCACACATTACTTCTAGATTAACAGACAATAAGAGAGAACTCCAAACTCATGCTTGTGCCATGCTACCACTTGTAGAACACTTTCTGCTTGTTTTAGGAAATCAAGAATTACATGTGGCATTTTATATAAAATGCATATTGAGCAGTTTAACCCTACCTAAACCTCTGAGATAAGAGTATTAAGAATATTATAGCTTATAGTAATTGGTTCCATACCTGACCCAGAAGAGGTATATTGCTCCTCAGTGGGCAGGAGGAAGTGAAGGCATAGGGAGTCTGGGAGTAATATACCACATAAACAGGTTTGTACTGGTTTGGCTTTCTATACTGCGTTCCCCAGGCAATTCGAATCCATACTGCATTCTCCTCAGCATCTCTGAAGCTGACCATCACCTTAAAAAGAAAAAAAAAAAAAAAAAAAAAAAAGAGTTAAGTTTCCTAATTAAAATCTGTACCAGGGGTACTGGCTGGCTGAGTTGGTACAACATATGACTTTTTTTTTTCTTTACAACGTATGACTCTTGATCTCAGGGTCATGAGTTCAAGCCCCATGTTGGACATAGAGCTTACTTAAAAAAAAAAAAAAGCCACACACACACAAAAATCTGGGGCGCCTGGGTGGCTTAGTCAGTTAAGTGTCTGCCTTCAGTTCAGGTCATGATCCTGGAGTACTGGGGTCGAGGCCCATGTCAGGCTCCCTGTTCAGTGGGGAGTCCACTTCTCTCGCTCCCTCTGCCCCTCTCTAATAAATAAAATCTAAACAAATAAACAAAATCTGTGGCACCAGCAAGTGCTCTTTAGGGGTGAAGGATGTTACTATAACATTGCACAGAGGCTGAGATCCAGCAGTCTTTTCTACTTTCCATTACAGTGTTTAGGGATCTTTGGGAAAAGATTTTGCGGTTGTTTTGGAAAGATACATTATACCTTGCCAGGTCTTTTGGAAAGAAAACAAGTTTTAAATCCTCCAATCAGGACATCCCAATTTTTCAATAATTTCTTGGGCTTGTTTAAAAAAAAAACAACAACTGTTCCCTGATATGTAAAAATTTATGAATGAAGGCAGTCTTGCAAATGACATACCTGTTTCATAATAAAGCCGTTTCAGCATCAAGCACAGACCTAGGGATCCCTGGGTGGCGCAGCGGTTTGGCGCCTGCCTTTGGCCCAGGGCGCGATCCTGGAGACCGAGGATCGAATCCCACATCGGGCTCCCAGTGCATGGAGCCTGCTTCTCCCTCTGCCTATGTCTCTGCGCCTCTCTCTCTCTCTCTGTGTGTGACTATCATAAATAAATAAAAATTAAAAAAAAAAAGCACAGACCTAGTGTGCACTATAAAGTTTAATAGTAAGATTTCTATGTAGTAATGGGCTCTAATATATTAATCCTAATGCTCGTATGCATTTAACTCAGATGCTAGTAATTACTCCAAAGTAATGTGGTAACAATATAGAAAATTCTATTTCATTTCCATTTCATGGATAAAACACAGATTTTTCCAAACTTCTAAATATAACTGCCAGTTCGTTTGGAATTTAATAGCCTGTTCCTAGATTCTTAGGCTCCCCCTCAATTCAGCTTCCCCTGGGAGGCCAGATCCTGGACAGGAGGCACCCGAGACAGGCACAGTTGGCTTGCCCACATCTCTTTACTTCCTCCCTCTTGTATCCCACTCCAGAAGAAGCAGGCTGCAATGTGGCTGCTGGCATTAGCAAAAAAGGCAGTTATTCTGACTCTGCCCACTCTTTATCTGGCTGCTTTCCTGTATTCCCTTGGTGTATGATACAAGGAAACTTCCTTGTTTGGTGTGGAGGGTGTGGAGCATGTGGAGTGTGAGGAGCTTTCCTGTATTCCCTTTCATGATAAGGGATCTGGCCTTACTCACAGACTCAAGGTTATTATTTCCTCTGCATGGCAACAGTGTGCTCATGTTGAGACTCCTGCAGATGGATTGTTAGTGCTCTGTGTATATCTTTGAGCCTTAGATATGTTATACTTACGTGTATTTTCATCTCTTTTAATTAGAAAGAAGTGATGGCTCTCTGCAATATTTCCTGTATTCCTGTACTTCCTGTTTTCCTGTATTCCCTTGGTGTATGATACAAGGAACCTTCCTTGTGTGGTGTGGAGGGTGTGGAGCGTGTGGAGTGTGAGGAGCAGCCTGACCTTCTTGAGTGAGCAGCACAGTGCTTGGCCCTAACAGGCGCTCAGTGGACCTCTGCTGGCTTAAATGGAAGAGGACAGGGTCTAATTCTGAATAGCCTCTTTATGTCACATTACAAAAGCAAAGCCTGTAAAATCAAGATTGAATGCAGTATGTGGAGGGAACATTTTACCAAAGGGAGAAAATTGGTTGTACTCAACATATTCAGGTAATCTCTCTAGCCCAGAGTGAGGATAATTTAGGTACAGCCTTGTGGAGAAGCTTAAAGATGTGTCCTCCCTACATTGGATGTATAGTTGGGCATACATGTTTAAGTGTACAGTTTCCTGGAGGTCCTGTATCACTTATCAAATTTTTCCTAAGGGTCTATGATCCAAAAAAGATTAAATAAAGATCAATGGACTAAGAGAAAACAATATTCACAGAATCAATATAATCTTGGCCAGGTGGCTTTCAGATATTAGGTCTCACATTCTTCTAGTAAAGATGATATTCAGATACCTGAAGAGGTAGGGCTCAAATGCAGACCGTTACTATTTTCCTAAGAAACTACCTTAATAGATATCATCCTTTAGTAGTCAGGACAAAGCATTTTTCATCAAGGATAGCTCAGATAAATATTGTTCAAGCCTAACTGGCCATGGCCACAAAAAAGTTTAGTGTGGTAATCAAATGTAACACAGAGAATTGCTACATATTTAATTATATTAGTATTAGTATATTTAGCATAGACTATCATTATTATACCACATGATCTACAGGTATTAAAAGGAGAGTAAATATGCTACCTTTTTACAATTGAAACATATTTTAGTTTGTCTTTTCTTTCTTTGTAAGAACATAGTGTTTTGAATAGTTTTACATGGTAAGATAAAGAGTTAATCTCTCTCTCTTGCACACAGAGATACACACACTCTCAAAGGCTCTGGATGGGTGGGATGTCCTGTAGCACAGGCTCCACCCATTACTCCCCAGTTAGGTTCCCAGCTCCCTCTCATACCAGCTTCTCTACCCAATTGGTTCAAGGGCGGGAAGTTCTTTTTTTTTTTTTTTTTAAGGGCAGGAAGTTCTTTTTTTTTTTTTTTTTAAATTTTTATTTATTTATGATAGGCACACAGTGAGAGAGAGAGAGAGGCAGAGACACAGGCAGAGGGAGAAGCAGGCTCCATGCACCGGGAGCCCGACGTGGGATTTGATCCCGGATCTCCAGGATCGCGCCCTGGGCCAAAGGCAGGCGCCAAACCGCTGCGCCACCCAGGGATCCCAGGGCAGGAAGTTCTTAACCTGAAGTCCCTCGTCAGAACTCAGAGTGCTTAAGAACTAACTGAAATTTAGCATCTTCTTTAATTGTGAAGGTAGGCAACAAAATGTGGAATGTTAGGACCTGTTTGTTGTTTGTAGAAACTGTCCCAAATATTTTCTCAATACAATTGTTGGCACCTGCCTCAAAAATATAATTTACGTCTTTGAAACTGTTTTTTAGACCTACTATGAGAGTACTTACTGTGTTAATTAAGAAACACATGATGACTACAGCACAACTTAGTATTTTAATGCCTTAATAATGGTCTTTTAACATATTTTGTTTTTCTTGTAATTCTATGTATTATAGCATTTAAAAATAATCTTCTGGGGATCCCTGGGTGGCTCAGCAGTTTAGTGTCTGCCTTTAGCCCAGGGCATGATCCTGGAGTCCTGGGATCAAGTCCCACATCAGGCTCCCTGCATGGAGCCTGCTTCTCTCTCTGCTTGTGTCTCAGCCTCTCTCGGTCTGTGTCTCTCATGAATAAATGAATAAAATCTTTAAAAAAAAATAATCTTCTAAAAAGTGGTGTGTAAGTTTCACTAACAGCAAAAGGTGTCCTTGGCAAAGAAAGGTTAAGATGTCTGTCCTACAGCAGCGGGCAAGTTTATTTTCACTCCAGGAGTCTCTACATGGCATGATATCACCATTGTCAGCCTTTAGGAAAGTGAGGTTATCCAGCTGCTAGTTAAGTTATGAAGAGGAAAGTAGGAAGTTGAGTTGAAAAACAGGGTTAGCACATGTGGGCCAGCTCGCAGCAGGGGAGCCAGGGAGACAGAAAAGACACAGGGTGGTGGGCGTCTGCTGGCCTTTCAAGCAGGAAGATCTGACCAATAAAAAAGCTCCTTTGTTCTCCCAGCTTTCCCACTAATCTGCCTGAAATTCATTCAGGAGGCAAAGGCTTTTGGCACACTGCAGTGACAAAAGAAGAAATCTAACCACTGAAATACATGGCCATGGAAGTAGGAAGATATGGGAGCACATTTCACTCTTCTAGAATGGTCAGGACAGGGGATCCCTGGGTGGCTCAGTGGTTTAGCGCCTGCCTTTGGCCCAGGGTGCAATCCTGGAGTCCCGGGATCGAGTCCCGCGTCAGGCTCCTGGCATGGAGCCTGCTTCTCCCTCCTCCTGTGTCTCTGCCTCTCTCTCTCTCTCTGTCTATCATAAATAATAAATAAAAAATTAGAAAAAAAAAGAAAAAGAAAAAATAGAATGGTCAGGACAGGAGGCGTGGGGTTCAGACCACAGAAGTTCCTGGTGCTGGACGGAAGGGCAGGAAAGACTGTCACAGGGGAAGAAGACACTGAAAGGGAAGGACTCTGACAAACTCTGAACTGCAGCTAAGAGCAGCTCTCTCTATGCTTTTAGCATGGGGTGAACAGGGTGGGAACATGGTTTCTCAAAAGGATTTAGCCAGTCGTGTTTGGCTTCATAAAAAAGGCTGCTTCCAGAAGGGTCCAGACCAAATATCTATATTTATGGACAACTGGCTAGGGATTCTGGGCCAGTGAGGCTCGTTGTTTAAAGAAAAGCAGGTGCACATGCCATACCCACAGTCCATATGGGACTCTCCTTTAATCTCTGAAAAGTGTATTATCTCATGGTATGAATATATTTCAAATATAATAAAAAATAACAACTTAAGAACAGAGTAGCAAAGAGTGATTATTCACAAAAGATAAAAAACAAAAAACACTCCTCCCCACCCCCGAAAACCCAAAGAGGAGACATACCTTCTCTTGGCTCACAATTACCCTTGAATTAATTTATAAATTAAGTAGACCTCCACTCAACACGATGAAGATTTCATTTTGTAAACCTGATAAAATGATTCTAAGTTTCTTCTTGAAGAATAGCCAGGACATTTTTGGTAAAGAAGAGTAACTGGGGGTAGGAACAGGGCTGACTTGTTTTAATGGTTATTAAAATATTTTACAAACCACAGAATTAGAGGAATGAACGATTTGCAAAGAATGTGCTCAATCCATTCATCCCCAGCATCTGTTGCACACTTGCCTGTGTCAGAGAGGGGCAGGATGGTCGGTTTTCTCTCAGGGGGACTATGACAATTAAAGTAGGAAAAGGGAAGAGTATGTGACAGTAGCACAAGACAAGGGAACTGCCATGGGGGGAGGGCAGGGACACTCCCTGAGGGAGCACTAGTTAAAAGGAGGCCTGAAGGATGGGGAGGAATGAGCTGTGTCAAGGCCAAGTAGTGGAGGTTCTTCCAAGGAGGAGAGGGAACAACCTGTGGCAAGTTCAAGAACTGGAAGAAGACTGGCTCAGTTTGGCTGGAGTGTAGAGTACAGGTGTTGGATGTAGGAGTGCACAAGGAGAAATAGATCAGAAGTAGAACAGACTCTAAAAGCATGAATGAATCTGAAGAATCCAATGATGATAAACCAGTAGAAAAAGCTCAATTAGTCTACAAGTGGCACTGGGACAACTCATTAGCTTCTGAAAGGGAAATGATGAACGACTCCATCACCACCTCCCTCCTTGCTTCCACTAAAGTAAGTTCCCATGGCCGAACCTCACCGGGGGGCAGGATGAGTGCAGAAACTTGGGGGGTGCTCTGGCAAAAGACAGAAGGCAAGGAAGGGAGTCAGTCAGAGACAATGAAGTGCACTTTTGGATGGGCAGAAGACAACCGGAAGACAGAGATGGAGGATCAAGAGGGTCTGACTGCCAATTCTTGTGACCTTCCTGAGCACAAGAAATGGATGTTGTGCATCTGGTGCAGGGCAGAGACTAAGCTGTGAGAGCCTGCCAGTGTCACCATGAGGAGCATGAGCTCAGAGCCACCTGCCTGGCTTTAAACCCCAGCTCTGACGCTTACCACTGGGAGACCCACCTTGTTTTATGAGGAGGGTGCAGTGAGTTAGTGACTGGCAAGGGCTTAGCCCAGGGCCTGGCACACGTAGCTGTTTGCAATCAGCATTACTGGGGAAAGAGAACCATGGGATTTTATGATATCACTAGTGCCGCCAAACAGGGAGGTTCTCAAACTTGACATTAGCATCACCTGGAGGGCTTGGGCCCACCCCTATGGTGTCTGAGGGAGCCCAAGAATTTGCAGGTCTAATATGTTCCCAGGTGACATGGATGCTGCTGGTCTGGGGATCATACTGTGAGGAGTACGGCCTTTCAAAACCCGGTTTCAACACAAAGACAAGAGCAGTGGCCAGAATGCAAGGGGCTTAGGCACGAAGCCAGCAAGGGTGTATTACCCTTTCAGAGGGTCTTTTTGGAAAGGTTTTTGAAGTCGCCAATAAATACCACCCTTCCAGCCTGTTCTGCTAGACCCACTGCTAGACATAAGGCAAGAGTTGGTAGGTGGAGGCCAAGCAACTGGCCCACTGCTCAGGCAAGTGGCCACCCAGATGTCAAAATCTGTGTGCAGGCAGAGTTGCCCACATGGTCATGGGCAGAAGCACCCTGGCGTGCCTCCCTTGCAGGGGGAGAGCCAGCTCTGGAAGAGGAGCCCACGATAAATGTCCCTGTGGGCATGGCTGCTCTTATTCTCCTGCCAGAGAGAGGGGAAAGGGACAGGGAAGGGGGGCCAATGTCACTGTGCCAGCAGGACACAGCAGGAGCAAGAAAAGAACATTTCTCTCCAAGAGCGTTGTGGTCAAAAGAATAGAGCTTGAGGCTGAGCACTGGGAGTAGATGTCCTTCCACTGAGACCTGAGCATGTTTATACATAGCAGAGTCGGAAGCAGTAGAGACTATAAACTTGAAACAGAACAGAGAATAGCAAACCTGTGGTCCTACGAGGCTGCAGGAGATGGATTCCAACCTTTCACTGGAGGGGTGCTATAATAACTTGCTCAGTGACAAGCAGGTAGGTACAAGTATGGTGGAGGTCACAAAGGGTGAGCTGAGCAGATGGAAAGACCATTGTGTATGGAGAGGGAACACTACCATTCTGGAAAGGACAGCCAGAGCACAGTGACTGCAGCAGGTTTTTGGGAATGTCTTGCCATGCAAGGGGAACTAAGGCAGATCAAGGTGGGAAGAGAATGAAGTAAGGGAGGCCATTAAAAAAATGACTGCCTGAACCTACGGGACAATATTCGGTGGTGGGTGCCTGGGTGGCTCAGTTGGTTGAGTGCCTGACTCTTGATTTCAGCTCAGGTCATTATCTCAGGGTTGTGAGATTGAGCCCTGCATTGTGCTCTGTGCTGGGCGTGGAGCTTGCTTGAGATGGTCTCTCTCCCTCTGCCTCTCCCCTCACGCTCTCTTTCTCTCAAAAAAAAAAAAAAAAAAAAAAAAAAAGAGGGGGACGCCTGAGTGGCTCAGTGGTTGAGCATCTGCCTTTGGGTCAGGTTGTGATCCCGGGGTCCTAGAATCAAGTCCTGCATCAGGGTTTTTGCATGGTGCCTGCTTCTCTCTCTGTCTCTGCCTCTCTCTGTGTCTCTCATGAATAAATACATAAAATTAAAAAAAAAAAAAAACCTCAGTGGTACTTGTGGAATGGCAGCTGAAGATTCACGGGTGCTCTAGAGCTACACTGACCAGTTCTGTAGCCACCAGCCACCCGTGGCTACTGCACTAAAATTCACTACAGTTATAGAAGATGAACATTACACTTCCTCGGTCACACTGGTGGCCACATGTGGTTACTAGCCAGTGTACCAGACAGTGTGGATTTAGAACAGTTCCATCATTGCAGAGTTCTACCCACCAGTGCTCCTCTGAGAAAGAAGCATTTGGCCCTGAATTGACGGGTGAGGGGAGAGGGAAGTTTTCATAATTAAGGAGGATTTGTCTTTGATCTGGCTTAGCATAGTATGGGATATTAACAATTAAAATCCTTACCAAAAAATAAAAACAACCCAAGGTAGTAGGTAAATTTTAACTGCACAGATGTCTTGATATTGCATTTCATGGAAATTCAGACAAATTTAATTCTTACATTTTTCAATGCTCTCTGAAGAATTTTCTTAAATGAACTTTTGAATTGTTCCATATCAAAAAGGTCAATGTCTTCACCTGTCAAAGTGAAAAGAAAAAGAAAGACAAATCAAGAGAGTACAGTGTTCTAGAAATACATTTGCAAAGACTCTGAAGGTAAGCATTCTGTGTAACCTCGAAGAGCTACAATGATCAAATCAGAACAAAGCTGTCGGGTACCTCAGACACAGCATCACCAAATATATTTTTCATTTTTCCCACAAAAGAGTAATTTTGAAATTACTCATTTTGAAAGAAGAGACATTTAAGAGGAACATATTGCTATTCATTTTTAAATTGCCAAAATATAAAATCTAAGTGTTCAGTTTAAAATGGAAAACACTGAAGTCCCTGGCTGGCTCAGTGAGAAAAGCATGTGACTCTTGATCTCAGCATTTTGAGTTCAAGCCCCGTGGTGGGTGCAAAGATTACTTAAAAAAAAAAATTTAAGATTTTATTTGTTTATTTGAGAGAGTAAGCAAACAAGAGAAAAGGAGCAGGGGAGAGGGGCAAAAGGAGAGGGAGAAGCAGACTCTCCACTGAGCAGGAAGCCTGACACGGGGCTTGAACTCAGGACCCTGGGATCATGATCTGAGCTGAATGAAGGCAGATGCTTAACTAACTGAGCCACCTAGGTGCCACAATTTTTTTGAAAATGGGAAACATTACCTGGTCCTTTACTCATCTGAAAAACATCCCAAACTTTCCGGTGCCGATGAAATTGAGTATCTGAGAGAGGAAGGAAGAGCTTAATCCTGTTATATCCTAGAACTCTTAAGTAATGTGCTTATAAATACATATCTCAAATATGTATTTAACATGACACCAGAGAAATTAGGTCAGACACATTTTTGTTCAAAATATACCTTTTATATGGATTAAATCTTCTCCCCCCAACTATCATCTCACCCAGGCTATTTTCCTCCCTTGCTTGGATGCTCCAACAGACTCCTATAGGTTCTCTCCCATCCTCCCCAGTCTCTGTCTCTGCACTGTAACCAGTGAGCTCTGAAAAAACAAGAACCTGATTCTTTCTTGCTCATAATCTTCATTGCTCATAAGGCTTTGCATTATTCTTAGTATAAAGACTGAAATCCTCCAAGTGGCCTCTAAGGCTCTGTATCATCCACCTATCCATGCCTCATTTGATTTGACACCTCCTGTATCCCCGAGTTCCCATTTTTAACCTCTCCACTCCTCTACTTCATCCTCCTGCTCCAAGACTTCCAGCACTGTGCCCTTTGCTCTTCTGTTCCTTAATCTCCCATCTTCCCTTTACCTAGTTTATGCCACCCATCCTTTGGCTCTCAGCTCATGTCCTCAAGGAAGTCTTCCCTAAACCCTCCGTGTGGCAGATCCCACTCTGCTCACACAGAGCCCCTCTATGTTATCCTTCATAGCATCTGCTATAGTCTGCAAGAAGGCATTTGTGTGATTAAGTAACCTGCCTCCTCCATAAGACTATGACCTCGTAAGAATGAACCAACCTGTTTGACCCACTAGCACCTAACATACAGCCTGCCACTTAGTAGTGCTTAATGAACATCTGAACAAACATGTGAGAAATGGGAACTACGTGGATCCACCATTTATAGTCTCGATGTAATCCAATCACTGAAAATTAGACTTAACCAGAGGCTGATGTGTAAATGAATTCAGCTATTTCATAGTTGGAGCAGAATATAAAGCTAATATTTGTTATGCACCAGGTCATAAAAGGAGTTAATATAAGTTAATAATTAATAAATGCCAGGCTATGTTCTAAGAACTTGACAAGGACTCTTTATTTTATCCTCATCATAACCTTATGCAATGTTATCGTTATGATGTAGGTCTGTCAAATGATAATAGTAAGGCATAGAAATTCTTCCTCTCTAATAGACTTACTCATTTATTGATCCCATTTACTATCATCTCTGTTATGCTCCCAATGGCCTCCCCCAGGACTCACAGGGAAACAATGATAGAGCCATGAACCGAACCCAAAAAATCTGGCCTACGCTCTGTTGCCTCTTGATGAGGAGAGTAGACATCTTAAAAAAATAGAAAAGAAAACTAGGACACAAAGGAAAAGACCCAAAGACGAGGAAGGAGAGGGGAGGTAAAAAGCTACATTGTAATAAGAACATTGTCAGAAATAGATTTTCAAATTCTGCTAATAACAAACCCTAACACAAGTATCTACTATGTGCTTCCTATAGCCAGTGACCCTGCTAAGAGCTTTCCAAGAATCTGATTTAACCCTCCAAGCCACCCTGTGAAGTAGGTGCTACTGTTTTACTCCATTTTACTTAGGAGGAGTCTAGGCTTAGCAAGGTAATGTGACTTCTCAGCCAAGTCACGACTGGTACATGACAGAAGAGGGATGGAAACCAGGTCCACCTGATGGAAGAGTCTGAGCCCTTACATACAAAATGGCCTCTCTGATGAAATGGGACTGGGAAGTGTAAATACAAAGCACCGACACTCACAAACGATGTCTAAAAGGGCTGCATCATGGACACTTGCACGCTTCTTCTGAAAGAGAAGATAAAATATTTAGTGGTGATAGTTTGGTTCTGCTCCACTTACAGTACATTTGAGGGTTGCTCAGAGCAACTGTGTCCAGTTTATGCTCTCCTGACAAGTGTCTCGGTTCAAGCACTCCCCACTCTTCCCCCAGTCTACTTCTTGTTCATCACTTTCAGGCTCTTGTTTTGTTTTTAAATCAGCTCTATCCTTCTCAACTTTCTCTATATCGGGGTCTCCCAAGAGGGCACAACTGACATTTATTAGTTGGATAATTCTTTGTGTAGAGGGCTGTCCTAGGATGTTAAGGAACATTCTGGCTTCTACTCACTACAAGCCAGTGGCATTCCCGTAGCTCTGACAACCAGAAATGTCTCCAGACACTGTGTCCTCTGGGAGGTAAAACTGTCCTAGTTGAGAATCACTGTCCTATACATTTACATTTGTGTATATTATATAGTGTTTTTCAATGTTGTACATAAAGATCTAGTTTATCCTTTTCAATCGAAGAATATTTTGTTATGTGGATGTATCATTATTTATCTATTCTCCTAGAATAGCTGTCTCCAACTTTTTTTTTCAACTTTTTGTTTTTTTAATCAAGGCTACTTAACATTTCTCTGTCTCTCTCTCTCTCTCTCTCTATATATATATATATATATATTTACATGTTCATACCTAAGTATATAAATGTTTACCAATTATAATACTTATATATATATACATATATACACCTCCTTGTTTTTTATTAATTTTCCTTTTTTTAAAAAAATATTTTATTTATTTATTCATGAGAGACACAGAGAGAGAGGCAGAGACACAGGCAGGGGGAGAAGGAGGCTCCCTGTGTGGAGCCCAATCCCAGTACCCCAGGATCACGACTAGAGCCAAAGGCAGATGCTCAACCACTGAGCCACCTAGGTGCCCCATTAATTTTTCAATAAAAATTTCCCACAGTGGAATTGTTGAATCATAACGTGTATTTATTTAAGAGTGATTGAGGGAAGAATGTACAGGGATATGAAAGTTCTTTGTACTACACTTGCAACTTTTCTGAAAATCTGATATCTTTTTAAAACAAAAAGTAATAAATTCACATGAAAGAGGTCTTTTTTCCATACAACTTTAGTTTGATTTGTCAACATATAGCATAATACCCAGTGCTCATCCCGTCAAGTGCCCCCCTTAGTGCCCGTCACCCAGTCACCCAATAAAATCTTTAAAAAAAAAAGGAAGAAAAAAACCAAAGGGGTGGTGTGATGTGTAAGTTTCATCATTTTGAACACTGTTACCTCGCAGAGCAGAACCAAGTCCTGAACAAGAGATTCCTTTCTCTGCTGGAAGTTTACATTCTGTAGTTGCTTTTCAGACAAGAAATCCCAGGCTTTGAGGATTGTCATCATTTCAGTCATTGGGATTTTCAAGATAGTCCTCTTGAAAAACTCGGCCACAGTTTCATCCATCTCTTTGGCACTTTAATAAAAATAAAAACAGCACAATAAAGTATTAACCAAATATAAAAGTTTGACTTAACTGGGGGCACCTGGGTGGCTCAGTGGTTGAGCATCTGCCTTGGGCTCAGGCCGTGATGCCGGGCTCCTGGGATTGAGTCCCGCATCAGGCTCCCTGCAGTAAGCCTGCTTCTCCCTCTGCCTGTGTCTCTGCCTCTCTCTCTGTGTCTCTTATGAATAAATAAATAAAATCTTTAAAAAATAAAAAAGTTTAACTGAACTGAATTTTTCAGCATGTTTTTAGCCAAGATTTTGATTTGTAGGTCAAACACCCAAATGTTTATCTTCTTTCAGGCACTCTGCAAAGTGTTTTTCTTTTTTTTTTTAATATTTATTTTATTTTTTTAAATTTTTATTTATTTATGATAGTCACACACAGAGAGAGAGAGGCAGAGACATAGGCAGAGGGAGAAGCAGGCTCCATGCACTGGGAACCCGACGTGGGATTTGATCCCGGGTCTCCAGGATCGGGTCCTGGGCCAAAGGCAGGCGCCAAACCGCTGCGCCACCCAGGGATCCCAGTAAATAAAATCTTAAAAAAAAAAAAAAAAAGTGGTAAATGCTGCAGGGAGAATGGAACAGTGCTAGGAAATGATCAGTAGTTAAAATAGAGCAGGCTGGCGATGAGGTGGCAGTGGAGCAAGCAGGCCTTGTAGAGAAGGGGACATTTGAGCCAAACAAGGGGACAGAGTGAGCCACATGGCTAGCTGGTGGAAGAACTCGCTAGACAGAAGGAACAGCAAGTGCAAAAGCCCCAGGGCTTTCAAGGAATAGGGCGAAGGATGCCTCTGGTAAGGCCGGAGTGAGTGAAGAGAAAGAGAAGGCACAGAGGAGCAATAAGGTCAGAGAACGTGGAGGCCCAGGGATCACTGCAAGGATCATGGCTTCTACTCTGACAAACTGGGGACTGGAAGATTTTTGAGAAGAGGTGGGATCGGTCTGGCTACTATCCTGGGGGCGAGGGTGGAAGCAGGAGGCCAGCCAGGAGGCTGCTAAAAGGCAAGTAAGAGATGAAGGTGGAGAGAAGCAGAGGTGGCAGGAAGAGGTCAGACTCTGGATATGCTCTTAAGGGAGAGCCCACAGGAGTTCCTGATGGACTAGATGTGGGAAACAAGAGAGAAGAGTAAGAGGTGATAACAATGTCTGTAGCAGGCAGCTGGAGGAACGGAGCTATTACCTGAATTAGGGAAGACTAGAAGTGTGGGCAAAAGAAAGCTCAAGAATTCTGTTTTAAACATGTACATTTTGAGATTAATTGTTCAACTCCAAGAGGAGATACTGGAATAACCTGTGGGATGTATTGGTCTAGAGGACACAGTAAGCGATGGAGGTAAAGAGGGCGGTAGTCTCTTTCTCCTTTAAGATGTCACCAATTAACATAGTGCTGCTCTCTCACTTTTCCTGCCCGGTGCCTGAAGGGGAGGGGAGATTCTTTTAACTGTCCAACAAGTCTTGAGCCCCAAATCTGGTTTGGCTCTCTGAGCAACTGACAAGGGCAATGATCTGTCATGAGCATTGCTCAGTGGCTGTCTCACAGCTGTGGCCCTGGGAAGGGGGTTTCTGAGCCCTTTTATTATTTTCCTCGGGGCAGAAGCTGTGGGCCAAGGGTGACAGCTGATCTTAACTCTGCTACTTCATTTGGAGACCCTGATGCGCATCTCCCTCCCCCACCCCGGGCCCCTTTTAAAATATGGCACATAACAAGCAAGCAAGTGTGATTTCTAAAACAAGATTAAGGATAGATGCAGAATTTAAATTTAAATTCTCTGCCTCTCTTGCAATACAAGAAAAGAGCACACGGACTTCAGTGTCTATGTTCAAGATGCAGAAATCAGCCTGTCAATCTCCTTTGCTTCCACCATGCCTACGAGATTTGCGGGGACACAGAGAGACGTGCCCCTCTACAAGAATCCAGGCTGTGATTTACTCCTACCATTTGAGTGTTTGTTGAACACTGTACAAAACCTACACAAAACACCATTGCCAACTTCCAAAAAAGATACTGATAGTCAACAGGATTTTAAGAAGATAGTGAAAACAGCAGTTAAAGCAAAAATAAAGCGAATTATTAGGAGTGGTTTAGAAAAACAACTGAATTAAGAACGTGAGAACGCAATCAAGATCATGAGAACTGAGCCTGACTTGTTTTCTTATCCAGACACAGGACCAACCTCCCTCAAGGTCAACACTAAAATCCTCACCATGGTCTACAAGACCCTGTGTTTGCTTCTTGCCTCCCTCCCCATCACCTACCCCTCTCTCCCTGGCTTTCTGAGCTCCAGCGATATTCACCCTGAGTTCCTCTAGTACGAAGGGATCTTTCCAGAGAAGGGCTATTGTACCTGCAGTTACCCCTGCCTAGAAGGTTCTTCTTGCACCTGTTCACGTGGGGCTCTTGCAATGGAGAGCTAAGCTATCTCAGCTTGGATAGCTTCTAGGCTGACTTATTCTGACCACCCATTCTAAGGGTATCTCCCCACCTTCTAGTGCATATGGTCTTTAATTATCTTGCTTTAATTTACTGATTACTGCATTGCTTTACAATATTGGGAACTATGTCTGCTTTCTTCATGGCTAGTCTCTAACTGATCAATGCACATGAAATGAAATGTTAGATACTCTCTGTAAGCAGTGTGCTGAGGAGATAAAATAACCTGGAAAAAATCAGGGTCCAACAGTCAGTGATACATCAAACCAACGTCTCCCATCAAAAACACTGGATTTGGGGGTAAGCTTGTAAAACTGCAGATTCCCGGGCCCCGCTGATCTGAACTAGAAGGTGGGCGGCATCGAGCGGGGCGTGAGACCTTGCATTTTTTTTTTGGGGGGGGGAGGGGGAGCCTGATTCTCTAGAATCCCTCGGAAGGCTCCATTCTGGGTAGTTTGCAAAATGCCTCTCTATAGACTTCTGGTAGATTCTATGGACTTCAATCTCACCCATAAGGTTGATAAACCCCTGAGTAAACGCTTCTGGTTCCTCGTGACTAATTTCTTTTTAATCCTAGCTCTTAGCACAGGGCCTGGCATATAGCAGGTGCTCAAGTCACTGGTTCAATGAATGCAGGACAAGAAAAAAAAGAGCCCTTTTAGGTGAACTTTTTTGTAGATTTACGTGGAGGAGCTGCCATCGGAGTAGAAGGAAAAACACAAGAGGCCCACGGATGGGAAAAAAAAACCGGAAGCCAAGCCTGACTTAAAAGAAAAAAAAAAACAACAACCGAAACACCGAACTCCGCGCGCAGCCACAACCCTCGGAGAGCAGAGGCGGGTCAGGTAACACCCCGCGGGAGCTCCCGAGCTGACGCACGTCCGGGTAAGGCCCCGCCCCACTGTGGGCGGACGTGACGTCACGGCCGAGCGTCACTGCCCTCTGTCGTCCCAGCCTCAGCCGTGGTGCCCCACCTCTCCCCCGAGGCCAAGCGCCAGTCCAGCACCTTGGGACGTGTGGTAGTCGCGGAGAAGTCGCCCCGCAGGCCCGGGGTGTGGCTTCCTCCGGGCTCCCGCCGCACTCAAGGGCCCGATCCCACGCCGCGCGCGGGTCTCCTGCAGTCCGTCATCGCCCGCAGGGGCTCGGCAGCCGTTCCCGCCCGCTGCGCCTTCGAAGCCACCAATTGCCGTTCCGGCCGTCCCCCAGCCCCGCCTCCCCGGAGCTCCCCCTTTGGACTGTACCCTGGGCCCGGGGGGCCGCGTCGGGGAGCGGCCGAAGTGAAACTCGCCGAGGGCCCGCATCACGCCCGTCAGCGGCGAACACCAGCCCAGCGCAGCCGGCCGCGGCCCCTAGACCTGGCTGGTTGGTTCGGCAAGCCGCCCCAAGGCTTCGCGGCGCCTCCGTGCCCCCGCCGCCCTCCTCCGCAGCGCCCGGAAATGGGCCGGGCCGGGCCGGGCCGGGCGCGCATGCGCCGCGGTCGCCGCGAGCCGCCGGGGCCGCCGGAGCCCCGCGGGGTCAGCCGTGGAGGGCGCGGGAGCCCTCGCCGCGCGGAGCTGCCCCGCCCCCGGCGACCCGGGGGCCGGCCTTTGGATGGGGAGGCCTCGCTGGTGACGGTGGCTTCGGCCGGCCCGGTGTGGCCGCAAGGCGGGTGAGTCTGGGCAGGCCGGCCGCGCCGAGGAGCCCCCCAGGTGGCCCCTGGCCCCGTCTCCTGCCGCGCTCGAGGCTCCCCGCGCCGGGCCTTGGCCGCGCGGTCGCTGGAGGCGCGCCCCGGGCTCTCGGCCCGCGGGCACCGGCCGAGGACGCGCCGGGGGTGGGGAGTAGGGAGCGTGCTGGGCGCAGGCCTGGGGATGTGGGTGGGCCTGGGCCCCTCCCGTCCTCGAGCTTCCGCTTCCACTTGCACGCCTGTGAAATGGGTATGACCCGCCGTCTCGTTGGTGAGAAAGGGAGGCCCTTCCCAGTGTTCGGTGCGGTGAGCGCGCAGAGAATTAATTGTACGATTATTCTTGTCGTCGTCTTGGGAGTCTTCGGGCGCGTCTCAGCTGCAGTGAACGTTGCCACCAGTCCGTGTTGCAGAGTGGGAATCCGGGGAGATCCTCAGCAGTGCACTTTTTTTTTTTTCTTTTAAGATTTTATTCATCCATTCATGAGACACACACACACACACACACACACACAGAGCGAGAAGCAGGCTCCCTGCGGGATCCTGATGTGGGACTCGATCCCCGCACCCCGGGATCACGACCTGAGTCCTAGGCAATCGCTCAACCACTGAGCCACCCAGGTGCCCCAACAGTACACTTTTTTTCTTTTTTTTCCTTTTTTTTTTAGTACACTTTTTTCAAGGAGAGGAAACATTGAGGTGCCTTTTACTGGGTTTAAAAGTTACTGTGCTTGTAGGCGCACAATAGATGCTTTATGAAGACTTTTTTTTTTTAGATGAAGAATCTTAAGTAAATCCGAGTTCTGGAATCCTTCAGTTAAAATCTTAAATGCATAAAAGAAGTTTGTGCTGGCAAACTTCTGTTGTGACACGCCTTTATCTCCTTTCCTATACGTATAGGTTTCTGCACGGACTTATTTTAAATGATCTTCATTTTCAGCCTTTAAAAAAAAAAAATGTTGGGACGCCTGGGTGGCTCAGCGGTTGAGCATCTCCCTTTGGCTCAGGTTGTGACCCCGGGGTCCTGGGATCGAGTCCCGCATCGGGCTCCCTGCATGGAGCCTGCTTCTCCCTCGCCTGTGTCTCTACCCCCCCCCTCTGTCTCTCATGAATAAATAAATAAATCTTTGAAAAAGAAAAAAAAAAAAAAACTATGTTGAGGTGTGAACCAATTCTCAGATCTGTTGTAATCCTAAATTCAGCATTTGGCAAGCATTTATTGGGCGTTTACTATGTGCAATTACAAGAATACTCCCTCACTGTATTCTTTGGGTTCTATGGACTGATTTTTTTTTTTTTTTTCCCTCCCAAGTTCAAATGATTTGGCAGATGCCCAGCATCTGCTGAGTGCCGATAAATGTTCAGGGACAGCTACAGCTTGTCCCATTCCTTAAGAAACTGTGTGGTGGAACTACAAGTCCTTTTCCCCAGGCAGCCTAGGGATTTATTCTCAGTAGTGGTGGGCAAGGTCTGTATTTGGGAGCAAGAGTCACTTAGTAGCATATGTTTAGATTTGGTCACTTTGTAACTGCAAAGGAAAGGTAGGGTGGGTAATACCCTGCTGTATCTGGTACCTCTGGGGACTATGGTGCATAGTTTGAAATAGTTACAGAAATGCTAATTTAATTACATTGCTTTCTGAAAGGTAGACTTTAAAAAGGATGTGTTTTGGAAAGCATTAAGTTTACAGTTCTTCCTGGAGAACAGCTTCTTCAAACTTGGAACAAGAGACTTTTCCTGAACTTGCTTTTTTGGTTGTTCTAAAATGATGCTTGAAATTGCAACTATAGTATAAATTTCTGGTGCAGCCACCAACAACAAAATCTTTCGAAAGAAAATCCAAGTGACATTAAAATCAAGGGTTTCCTGCTTGTGACTCTAGATTTGCTGAAGTGTTACTGGAACGCTTACTCATTTTGCTTTACTACAGTTACCGTATTGGTTACTCTTGGTTTGTTTTCTAAAATTGTGCCACCTGGTGGTTGAAATCTGTCTATCATGGAATATTCATTATGAAAATTTTACCTCAGTCTTGGTAGAATAAGGCGAAGAAGTGACCTGAGTAAGACTATTATTTTTATGTCTTTAGTGAGAGTACCATACTGCTTCTGTACTCCCAGCCTACCCCCAAGGAAAAGTTAAAGTTGCTTTGCAGGGGCCTGTCACCTAGTTATCAAGACATCCAATTGTCACAGCTGAACATTTCTAAGAGTTAGTGGCTGTTTTGGTATTAACGTGTGCACACTTGAAGCAGTGAGTGGAGTTGAGGTGGAAAGGGAAGCATTGTAACTGTGACAAGTTAACCCTTCTGATGTTTTCTAGATGCCAATGCACAGGTGGGACTGAAGTTTTGTGTTTAAATGATAACAGTTTGAATTGAATTTATTTATTTATTATTTATTTGTTCCTCTTTCTCACTGTGAACATCCATGCACGAAGTCTTAACACAGATGAATGTTCCCTTCAGCCTTGTTCAACAGTGTGGCTGATGTTCAGAATTATTTTGGCCCTAGCCTTTTGAAATTCCTTCGTGTGTTCTTAGTGGTAACAAGTCAAGTCCATGGACAGAATTTTAGTTTTGGAAATAGGTTAAAATCATTTAATTGTGGATTTAGATTTGAGAAGAAACTTAAGGATGCAGTGCAAGAATACAGTGTGGCATCCTCATTGATGTAGCCAGTCTCCTTCAGTCTCCTTGGGGTATGTGAGGACAGATAACCGAGAACTTCCCAGAGCAGCCAGTTTCCTTGTTGGACAGCTCCAGGAAGAGGACATCTGCCTTTTGTTAGCATCCACCCTTTGGTTTCCAGTCCTGTTCTGGAAAGCACCTTGGAAACACCACTGTAAATTTTAGTTCACCCTTTCCCATCCAGTGACAGAGCATTTCAGATATACAAACACTACTTTACATGTGTCACAGTCACTGCTCACTGTTTCAGATGCTTCCACGTATGTTATTTTAAATCTCATGACCATCCAGAGATACAGGTCAAGAGCTAATTCCAATTTACAGAAGAAGAGACTTAGGTCTCAGAGTAAGTAACCAAAGTGTTAGAACTTATGGACAGATAAATCCATAACTCTTTTATTTCAAATCCATTGATTGTCCTACTGAACCAGATTGTTTCTCTTATCTGTCTCCTCTGATGTGGACTTCCCTATATTGGTGAATATTCCCAGTTTCATTAATGGCTTCCTGTTTAAACCTAGAGTCAAAGCCATGTTTATCCTGAGCACCGTCTCCAGATACTCACATTGTCAGTATTTTGGACTTTGCTGATCAGGACAAATGTAGTATACCTGTTCTTTTTCTTGAGGGAGACAAGCCCTCTATTTCTAATAATATAGGATTATTACATTATCACATTTTTGGAAGGTAGGCCTAGAATTAGTGTCTGTTGAACTTGTAGCCAGCCAGAGGCTCTTTGGGAAATAGTTTTTTCTATCTGTATTTATTTCATCCACAAACTGCTGGGAAGGCATGCCTTTCCTGTTTTGAACATTGGAATAATCTGTCCTGGTGAGAAATTGCATTGGGTAGTAACTGTGCCACTTACTATGTGACTTGAGGCTCAGTTTTACTCTGAAAATATGAGTAATGCATACTTGAACTACAAAAAGTCAATTTCTTATGGTTTCACTGAATTTATGAAGTTACCTACTCCCTACAGTTATTGGAAGGATTGTAAGACTTGTGCCTAGTGTGTGGTAAGTGTTCAACAAATTATTTTCTACACTAATAATGTAGATATATTCTTATGGCTTTGATGGAGTCTTCAAAGTAAGAATATGGAATATACATTTAGTTTTCTTCAGTTCATAAGTTACTTTTGAGTTATAATAATGCTGATTAGAATTCAGGCTTTTTAAAGATGACTGCTGGGCGATACCAGCACTCACACCAGCGTGTTCTAAGAACAATGCCATTGTTTTATAGCTGTGCTTTGTGAATTGCGAAAGTCTCGCAGAACACCTGTGTATGCACCAACTGTTAATGAAGCCAGACAACACTGGGCGCAGAAAGAAGAAGAGGGTATCTCAGTAAAAAGAGGGTGGAGGAAAGAGGGAGAAGACTGGTAAAGCAAGGAATTTGTTAGATAAGGGATTTGGTCACTGTTTAGAAGCGTAGGCTTAGCTTTTTACCAAGAAGACTAGGAAAAGGAAACTGTATGAAACTATTTTCTCACTGGACATAGTTACCTAGGATAAGTAAGTAGAAGGGAAGACATCTCATTGGTACCCTGGCTGGGTCTATAGTAGCATAAACTTTTGTAATGGGGGGAGGAAAAATATACATTATGATATGTATGCATTTATGCTTGTGTAAAATGTGCATGTATTTATCTCAGCAGCCAAGTGTCTTCTAAACTCTTTGCCAACCGAAGAGATCATTTCACTACATTGTAAGCTTGTTTCTGAACTGTAAAAGCACTCATCTGAGGGCTGATTGATAGAAATACGCAAACATTTTTGTCAAATATATTTACAAAATAAGACATTTTCTAGGTGCCTAAGGCAGTATACATCTTCTTTCAGAAAAAAGTGAGGCAGAAATCAGACAACCAGGTAACTAATAGGTTTAGATGCATAATATTGGTTATAATATTAGATGATCTAAATTGTTAGACTATGTGAAGTCTCATTTTTCTGAGGTAGAAAGATTATTTCATTAAAGGTTTTGTAGTCAGTAGCAGGCAAACCAACTTGAACTTGGCTGCATTCTAGTTTCCATTTTAAACCCTTTGCTGGCCACAATGGCCTGATATGTGATCTTCAGCTGTGCTATGCTGTGTGTGCGTGCACACTTAGTAGTCACTCAGTGGAACAGTGATCTACTAATGTATTTTTATAAACTGAGTTTTGCATTTGTAGGAATACTATAATTCTCTGGAGTTATTTATTTAGATATTTTTGAGGATTTTACTTGTGAGTGGAAGGTAGATAGGCAGGTTTTTTTTTAATTTTTATTTATTTATGATAGTCACAGAGAGAAAGAGAGAGAGGCAGAGACACAGGCAGAGGGAGAAGCAGGCTCCATGCACCGGGAGCCCGATGTGGGATTCGATCCCGGGTCTCCAGGATCGCGCCCTGGGCCAAAGGCAGGCGCCAAACCGCTGCGCCACCCAGGGATCCCTAGATAGGCAGTTTGAATTTCTTGAACTTTTTGATATTAACTCTATTAAGGTACAATTTACATGTCATAAATTTTCCCATCTTATGTAAGTGAACTCGATAATTTTAGTGAACTGCAATTGTGCAACCATTACCACAATCCTATTTTAAAATGTGTTTATTATGTAAAAATATTCCTTTGTGCCCAATGGCAAATAATCCTCACTCTCACTTTCAGGCCCATCAGCCTTTTTTCTCTTCAGTTTTGCCTTTTCTACACATTGCACATAAATGGAGTCATGCTGTATAGTCTTTTGAATCAGGCTTCTTTCATTTAGCTTAGTGCTTTTGAGCTTCATCTGTGTTGATATCTGTATCAGTGCATTCCTGTTGATTGCCAAATAGTATTTCATTGTCTAGATATACCACATTGGTGTACCCAGTTACCAGGTTATTGGGTATTTGGATTGTTTCCGGTATTGGCTATAATGAATAATACTGTGAACATTCACATACATGCCTTTGTGTGCATATGTGTTTTCATTTCTTTTGGATAGATTCTTAGGAGTTGCAGTTTCGTGTTCTGGGTCATTTGGTAAGTTTCTGTTTAACTCCTTAAGACACTGCCAGAATTGTTTCCCGAAGTATGTACTATTCTACTAGAAATGCGTGAGGTCTGTTTGCTCTGCATCCTAATCAATGCTTGTTATTGTCTGACTTTTTGATTATAGCTATTTGGGAGGATGTGTAGAGGTATCTCATTGTGATTTTAGTTTGCATTTCCCTGTGACTAATGGTGTTTAGCATTTTTTTGTGTGCTTCATTAACCATTCCTGTATCATCTTCTGTGAAGTATTCATTCAAATTTTTTGCCAATTTTTTGGGTCCATTTTAAATGTTGGGTTCTTTGTAAGCATTCAACAAATCCTCTTTCATATATGATTAGCAAATATTTTCTCCTAGCCTGTAGCTTGTAGGATATTTACTTTTTAGAGCAGTTTTAGATTCACAGCAAAATTGAATAGAACGTATAGAGAGATCTCATTTGCCCCCCTGCCCCACACATGTACAGCCTGCCCCACTATCAGCGTCCCCCACCAGAGTTGTATGTTTTGACAATTGATGAACCCGCATTAACATGTTATCACCCAAAGTGTGGCTTGTTTTTTTCTTTTAATTATATACATTATGAGATGGCTCACCATGATAAGTGTATGAACAAACAATATTATTGACTACATTCCCTTTAGCTGTATTTTACATCCCTGTGTCTTTTCATTTTCTTAGTGGTGTATTTTTTTTTTAAGATTTATTTATTTATTCATGAGAATACAGAGAGAGAGAGGCAGAGACACAGGCAGAGGGAGAAGCAGGTTCCTTGCAGGGAGCCCGATCCCAGGTTTCCAGGATCACACCCTGGGCTGAAGGCAGGCGCTAAACTGCTGAGCCATCCGGGCTGCCCTGAATGGTGTATTTTGAAGTGAGAAAGTTTTTTTTTTAACTTGATAAGATTTTACCTTTTTTTTTTTTAATGAATTGGGCTTTTGGCCTATTTAACTAAGAACTCTTTTCCCAAACTAAGGTCATTATTTCCTCTTAGGCTTTCTTTCTTGAAACTTTTAAAATATTAAAACAGTTAATTGGTTCTTTTTTCAAGTTAAAAAGAATACGTTAAAAAATACGTGAATAATGCTACCTAACTTTGGCAAACATTTCAAAATAATGCTTTTTCTTTGAAAGTTGGCTGCTAATTTACTGTTTTGTGAAAGAACCAGTTATATTTAATTTCTGGGATTTCAGCTTCTTGATTTCATAGTAATAACTGCATTATGGATATATCTGCTAAATTGAAAAACTTTTTTCCCATCTGCTTTTTGTTTCTCTTCATTGTTTAAGTTGTATTTTCTCAGCCAGATGTTAGGAAGAAAGCAGTCCTTATGTATTCACAGTAATGTAGGACTAATGAGCTTAACCTCTCAGAGGAATATACATTTTAAAAGGATTAATAAACCAATTCTTTTATGGAATTTCATCTGAACAGAATGAGTTGTCGAATCAATTTCAGGAATGTGGGGAAAATACTTGAAATTAGGTTTATTAATACAGGCTAGCTGTTCTTCTGGAGCACTTATTTCCAGGATTGGGTCTCTTGTAGAGTCCTGCCTTTTTTCTGAACCTGCGGGTTCTTCAAACAACATCTGATGACCTGCTGAATCTGTTAAATTGTTGGATAAGGAAGCTCAGGGTCAGGTTTAATAATTTGCCTAAGGTCAGCATTCTTTTCTGATAAAGCTCATGGCAGTTTTTGCTGAAATAGTGTTAGGTCGCATTAACAAATACAGTCACGCGTATTCAAGACACTCTTGTATCCACAGGTTGCCCTGCTGTGCTCCGTCACCTCCTAAAGATGCATCCTGACTTATCTCCACACTTGCACTCTGAAGAATGCAACGTCTTGATTAACTTGCTTAAGGAATGTCACAAAAATGTAAGAGTTCAGAAAAACGACCAGAAAGCAAAAATGAAACTTAGGTACAACACACTGGTGTAAAATGTTACCTCCACTAATGGAAAGGAATGGATCTTAACTTCTTAAAGATTAGTAACTGATGCTTGTGATTTTTCAGACACCATTCCCTTTCATGATTAGTAAGAATGCAGCATGTGGTAGCTCGTTAGGGAACTCGTTAGGGAACTTCTGAAATGGTATGTAATAGAATCCGCGTTCTTACAATAAAACACTTTGCTTTTTTTTCATTATAGGGCAGTAGAACAGTTAAGTTCTGACTCTTCTGATCATAATGGAATGATTTTAAGATCTTTCTAAGATTTTCTTTGATCTTTACCATTCTGTGTTTAAAGGAGATTGAAACATTTTTAATAATTAGATGTTAGCTAGATTTAAATTATAATTGGTCTAATTTGACAGGTTTACTTATTTGTTAGTGGGATGGAAGTAAAATTCCATGGTTTAAACCAAAATAGAAAGGAAGCCCAGTTTTGGAAAGCATTAAATTAAGCTGGTATTTTTACAAATGTCAAATACTTAGCTTTTTTCATATATTTGCTACATGAGATAGCTGTAAGGAGCATTTCTATTTTTCTTTAACTTTGCATGATGTGTTATTTTCCTTCTGATAGTCATAAACTGTAGACATAACAAATTATAATAATAGCATCATTTAAATGAGTAAACTTTAAAGACTAATAGTAAGGTAGTGAGTAATACCTGTGGCCTGTGAAGTTAGGTATTTTTGTTGTTATTGCTTGACAATATACTTCAGGCAGACTTTTTTCAGCCTACATCTAGATCAGGAATTGATACCGTAAGTCTTTTTAAGGTTAGTCATTTTTATGGGTGCCGTAGTGTCCTTTTTTTTAAAGATTTTATTTATTTATTCATGAGAGACACAGAGAGAGAGAGAGAGAGCCAGAGAGGCAGAGACACAGGCAGAGGGAGAAGCAGGCTCCATGCAGGGAGCCCCCTGGGCCGAAGGCGGTGCTAAACTGCTGAGTCACCCGGGCTGCCCCTTATTTGGTTTTAGATTGTGTTTCCTTGATGGCTGGTTTTTGAGCATCTTTACGTGCTTATTGGCCATTCATATAAAGTCTTTTGCCCATATTTTATTTTATTTAAAAAAGTTTACATTTTATTTATTTCATATTTTTTTCTTTTGCCCTTGTTTTAAAATTGTGTTGTTTGCTTTATTATTGAATTTTAAGAATTCTTTTTTTTTCATTTGACATACAAGTCCTTTGTCTGATGAGTGTATTGTGAATATGTTCTCCCAGTCTGTAACATTCTTTTTCATTTTCTTAAGATTGTGTTTCAAAGAGCAGTTTCTAAGTTCATGAGGTCTAATTACTAGGTTTTTTTTTTTTTTTTTTTTTTTTTTTTTGTGGTTGGTTTTTTTGTTTTGTTTTGCCGTCTAAGCATCTTTGTTTCTTGGTCACAAAGATTTTCTCTTGTTTTTTCTTCTGGAAGTTGTGTAGAGTTTTAGCTTTTACATCTAGATCTGTGATTCATTTCAAGTTAATTTTTGTGTATTATGTGAGGTATGAGCCAGTTTTTCTTTCTTTCTCTATGGATATTGTTGTTGCAGCACCATTTGTTGCAGTGACCATCCTTTCCCTACTAAATTATCTTGCTGTCTTTGTCAAAACAATTGACCATATGTGACTGGGCCTATTTCTGGGCTTTCTGATCTGTTCCACTGATTTATGTGTTTATTAACACCAGTTAATTTCAGTGTTAGTGGGGCCACCCTAGTCCCCTGTTTTGTCCTCTTTGTCCTCATTCACTTGCACTGGAGTGATTGTTGAAATGTAAGTTGAATCATTGTTCCCCTCTAATGGCTCCCTTTGCCTGCAGTTGTCAAATCTAAATTTCTCACTTTGTGGTGTTTCAGGGCCTTCATGAACCTGGCCCCCACTTATCCCTTGGGTCTCACCACCCTCCTGCACCCCTTCTGCTTGCTCCTGTGTGCTCCTCTGCAGTTGTGTAGGAACATGCTTCCCTCTTCTAAGCCTTTGTGCTTACTTTTTCCTTGTTTATCTTACAGCTCTCCAATATCTCTACTTCCGGTGCACTAGACCAGGTTTCTTCATCCTCCAGGTTTTATTCATTTGTCATTTCCCTTTCCTTTCCTCCTTTCCAGGCCTAGATTCTCTTGGTGTGGTCATTCTGTACTTCAATAACCACATATAATACAGTTCCTACTGTAAGATAGTTCTCACACTTTCTGATCTCATGACTCCTTTATGCTCTTAAAAATTACTGAGGACCCTAGGTAACTTTTGTGTATGTGGACTATATCCAACGATATTTACTGAATTAGAAATAAAAACTGAGAAATTTTTTAAAAATTAATTTGTATAAAAATACAATAATAAACCCATTACGTGTTAATGTAGTAGTAGTTTTCCATTATAAAGATCTTATTTTCCAAAACAAAAGAATGAAAATAATGACATTGCTTTTGCATTTTTGCAATTCTTTTTAATACCTGGCTTAATAGAATATAGCCAGATCCTCCTATCTGCCTCCTGTTCAGTCTTTGGTGATATATTGCCTTTTGTGTAGTGTTTGGAAAGTTCCACAGTAGCCTTGTGAGAGAGTGGTAATGAACAAAATGAGTAAGATCTTTGATTATCAGGAAACTAGTTTTTACTGTGTGCATCCCCTGGAAAGGTCTTGGGAACTTGTGGGTGTCCCTCGACTACACTTGGAAAACTACTGCTTTACAGCAGTCACTTTGTTAGCTGGCTTCCCTCTGACTGTGGACTGAGAGGAGGGCCCAGGTCCACCTTCCTCATGCTGTCTCCCTAGTGCTTGGGACATTGTCTTTGAAATACCAGTCGATTCATTTTTCAATCAATTGCCCAGTCAGTTTGGTGATAGACATCACACGCTAGAGGCTTATGCCATGTGTATACAAGAGAAGTGTAGACCCTGGCCATTTCGTAAACCAGTTCCAATGGAGCACTTTGGGATGGTTTTTCATGTAATGTCACAAGAGTATAATTCTTCATTGGGTTTAAAAGTTGAAAAGGCAAAAAAAAAAAAAAAAAAAAAAAAAAAAAAACCTTCTGTCTTGGATTTAAAAATAAGATGTATGTCTATGGAATGATATGAGTTGATGTAAGCCAAACTGAAATATTGCCTTCTGAAAGTCTAATCCTTTCTGTTATTTCTCCTTCAGCAGAAGGCATGTAAAAATGCATGGTTCCTGTTCATTTGTTGTCAAGGAAATAAAGAAAAATACACAGGGAAGTTATTCTGCAAAGGTCCTTAGGTAACAAGTAGGAGATCTTAGTTTACCTTAAATGCTTGCCAGAAAAACTGACCCAATTATTCATTGTGGACCAGAAAAAGACATGTACAGTGATGGTGAAGCAGGGAAAGAAAGGACTAGCACGAGGCATAGCTTATTAATTACATGTTGTCTGGTTTCCATGAAAGCCTTAATTAGAAAAGGAAAAGATGCTTATTATTACAAGTTTAAGCACTTTCAGCATGTCATTATAGGATATCACCATGCTCTCCTAACCACCCTTAAAAATCGTGATATGCAAACACTAATTATGGCCTGACTAAAATTTGTGTTCTTGACTTCAATCTTCATCTTATTTTGCTTTGGAGCATTCATACTTTTTATCGTGATAATCATCATAGGCCCTGAGACCACGAAGAGATTTTTATTTTTGCTTTGCAAAGAAAGCAGACTTTGAACTTCAAACATAGGTTTTCTTATATTGTGGATTAGTTGCTTACTTATGTGGCCCATATAGGCCATTTAATAATAATAGTGTTATGTGTTTCTGATGTATTTTGATGACATTTTGGATGGAGGCAAATGAGAAAATTAGCGTTGGCACCCAGCATTTATTAGGTAATTCTTCAAGGGACAGAATGTTTACTCGTGAAGAAGTCACTGGTTATGTTAGTATGGCCATATCGCACTTTGGTGTTACTCTCTGTGATAGACGATGGTTGTACTGTGATTTTCACATGTCCTTAAAGAAAAGAGTATTAGAAAACAGAATGATTTGCACTCTGTCATTGTGAGTTAACAGGTATAAGTTACAGGTTAATAGGTTTCTCTCTTATCAAGGAAAAGTCTTTATATTTTCATTTCTACCAAGAGAACATTTATCCCTCCTTTTAGGAAGGCCAGGATAATTCCGTTTATTTGTATGTTTTATACCTGTATTTAACTCTTTGCTTATTAACAAGGTGGTGACACATTATAAACTCATTTCTGTAGGAATAAGTATTTAAATTCTCTGTGCCAGAGACCTTTGTATATGGGATAAAATATTTACCCCTTTTCTTCCTTTTAGCACAGCATTCTGAAATTTTTTGGTCGTTGCAATGATCTTGATCGGGAGATGAGAAAATGCTTGAAGAATGAGGTAAGAAAAGTGTTAGAGGATGAAAATGGTTGAAGATTAGAATAGAGCATTTCTGAACAATATTTAGAATACTGCCATAACTAATTTTTATTCCAAACTTTAGTATAATAGAGAGGATTGACTGCATTTGTATGTTCTCCTCTAAAACGCAGAGGAGAAATGAAAGCCTCTTCTGGGAACAATTTTAGGACTTTGCTGTTTTTTTTTTTTTTTTTTTTTTTTCATGCACATAAATGAAAACCACTTTCTTACTACAATCATTGTGACTCCTCTGGATGAATCATGAGGGCCCAGAAACTGAATTTGTTTAGCAGAAAGACTTTGGTCAGTCAGCTATTAGCTGTAGCAGATAACACATCTTGGGCTTCTGCTTCCTCATAGAACATGGCAGGTGCTAGACTTGGGCTCTTCACAGGTTTAAAATTGTGAATTTCTTTATAACCATGGCGTGTATGAGCCACACGGGTCTGGTTTGACTTGGTCAAGACGACTCATTTTCCGAACCCAGTTTTAGACCATGACTTGGACTTGGGCATACAGCAGAGTGCTTTTGAAATCTTTGAAAAGAAATTTGATTCCATTTCTGTTTTGTACATCAATTGTGTTATGTCCAAAACCCTTAAATATCTCTTAACTACTAAAAACCTGTCTTCCGGTTTTTTTCTTTTTCTATATTTTTGAATTTTTTTCCTATTAGCCTCATATTGAAAGGTATTAGTTATATACTTTAAGCTGTCTAGCATCTATCTATCGTCAACTTTTGTATTTTTCAATCTGAAGTTTTTTTTTCTGCCCAGAATCCCTGTCCAGTGTCTTTACTGTTTGAAGAACTTTCTGGAGTTCTGAATTCAGGGTGATAATTTTCTTGGCACAAATGTGTACATGTAGAAGTGTTTTAAGTTGATTTTTGAAGAGTTTTTCTTCTATGCAAGGTGGTTTATATGAAAACTGAACCCTAGGGCTCTGTTCCTGTTTCAATAAGATGATGGGAAAATGAAGCTTACCATATTTTATTCAGTACAACTGTTTATTTCTCACATGCTTTCAGTTGTGTCAGATCGCTTTTCCCCTAAGTTTAGATTTTTTTTCTTCTTATGGTTCAATAATTTTTGCCATTGGTTTGGTGGTTAGATCTTTATACAAAATTTTCTTCCCAGGTGGTCCTGAGCTGTTAGTGACTGGTAGAATGTCGGAGACATTTTTCATACTTTGAGTTTGTTTTCATGTCAATTCTGGATTTTCTCCTTGACTTATTTTTTAAGTCCTTTGTGTGGTTTTTATGTTGCTTCATTACCTGATTTATAGATGTTTTTCTCTCTGTTCTTTCCTCCTTCAGTCTTCTGAACCTGTGCTCATTTATTTTCTCTCTGCCTTTAATGCTTTCTAGTTGACTGTTTCCCGCCTCCATATGCTCCTTTAACCATCTCCTTCACGTGCCATTTGAGTGCTTCATTGCTTGACGCTTTCAACTAGCAAAAGGGTCTGGCCAGTTCCATTAGCCTCTCTTTGCTGCCATGTGGCTGCTTTTGTTTTTTTTTTAATTGAAATAATGATTACATTAATACTACTTTTGTAGCATCCTCTTTTGTCCTTCTTAGTTGTTTTATTTGTTTTGGTTTGGTTTGGTTGTATCGTTCAGTGAAGTTTTGTGAATAAAATCACATTCATTCTTTTCTTCTTTTATTCAAAGGCCACCTTGCCCTTTGGCGATATCTTAACAAACATTTTAACATAGACTATGTTTTAATTTGCTCTTTAACTGTTTTTCTGGCTGCCTATGAAGTATTATCTTCTGAAGATTTACCCTTAAAACTTCTCCCAAACTGATTGCCAGAGGCAGTCCAGTATATGTGATTAAAGATAGAAACCAAATATTTTTCTCAGATTAGGTATCCCTCCATGTTTTAGAACAGTGCCTCTTTTTAAAAAATAGTTTTTAAAGTGACAAAATTCCCTTTCCCTCTGACAGTCTTAAGAGAAAAATTAATGTATGACAGATAAAAAGAATGATTTTGGTTAAAGGGACCTGGTGTTTCATCTGTAATTTGGTTAAAGAGACCTGGTGTTTCATCTGGCCCTTTAATGAAGAAGAAAAAGTTTGAAAACTGATTCCAGAAGCGATGTTAGAACTCTTCAATAAAAACTTTAGATCTAGAAAACTTCTTAGAGATAATGTAGCCCAGCTCCTCTTATTTGAGGTTACAGGACCCAAAGATGCAGAGAGAGAGCATAAACCTTCACAGCATTGTCTCTCAGGGGTCTGGGGCAGGGGACCCAGCCAGGCCCCCTGGTTAGCTCTCTCTCACTGATTTTCATTTCTGTGGCCTTTTCCTGTACTTCTGGCTCCTGAAAGATTTTGATGTCTAGCTGTTCACATATACTTAGTGTTTTCAACTTGAATTTACTTTTACTTTTTCCCCCTTTTCCATAAGGATCCATCATTCACCTTTAAAATATGTCTATTGGTCTATATAAAAACACATATATCCAACTTTCTCTGGTTTAAACAAGTGCTTTTTCTAAGTGCCAGGCTGTATATTTCCTGTTACTTGTAACCTACTGGCCAGATCAGAATACTAGGCTGAAAACCTCCAAAGTGAAAACTGCATTTAGATCTAACTGATCATAAAAATGTAGGATTTGGAGAGCATCAGGTTTGATGACTATTCATAATAAAAAATATTGGGAAGTTCAGCTGACTATAGGTTTCCATGTGAACTAATGGGTTATAATATGGTTGCCAAAAGCCAATTACTTTTGAAAATATTTATAGAAATAAAATATCTGTGTCATAAGAACTAGTAGGTCCACTGTAGTTCATATCTGTCAGAGTACATGGAGCACTGTATTTAATTCTGGTTGTGATATTTTTTATAAGGGATGTTGATAATAAAGCACTTTATAAAAGGTACTTAGTAGCTATTAGAAGGCAGAAGCCATGTTCTGTTAACCTTTGTAGAAATCGGCAATGTTCAGCCTTAGATGACTTTGATAGATTGTGAGCTCCTCCTGTAGAACAGGGACAAAACTCACTCATCTTAAATATTTACTGAATTCATATTTTGGGAGGAAATTAATTCCATAAATATTTGTGTATTTATTAGTGTAGGTGTTCTGTACTGTGTGATTTCAGATTCAGTGAAGTAAAAGTCAAATAATTTTATCAGCAAAAACAATTTATTTTGCAAATATTTAAAAATATTTAACTTAGCTGGTACAAATGGTAATATAATATGCTGTCTCTTTTCTCCCCCCTTCCTTTTATTTTCCAGTACATGGAAAAGAGGACCAAGAGCAGGGAGCATGGCAATGCGATGAGAAAAAGACTTTTTAATCCCGCAGAGGAATCTGAAAAATAAATTACAGGCATACCTTGTTTTATTGTGCTTCGTTTTATTGAACTTCGCAGATAATGCATTTTTTTCAAATTGAAGGTTTGTGGCAACCTGGCACAAGCAAGTCTATTGGCGCCATTTTTCCAACAGCATTTCTCACCTTGTGTCTTTGTATCACATTTTGGTAATTCTTACAATATTTTGAACTTTGTAATTATTATTATATTTCTTATGGTGATCTGTGATATTACTATTGTGATTGTTTTGGGGTGCCACAAAGTGTGCCCGTATAAGACAGTGAACTTAATCAGTGTTCTATGTATTGTGACTGCTCACCAACCAGCCATTCCCTTGTCTCTTCCTGTCCTTGGGCCTCCCTACCCCCTGAGACTCAACATATTGAAATTAGGCCAGTTAGTAATCCTACGATGGCCTCTAAGTATTCAAGTGAAAGGAAGGGTCCTTCATCTCTCACTGTAAGTCAAAAGGTAGAAGTGATAAGCTCAGCAAGAAAGGCATATTGAAAGCCGAGATAGGCTGGAGCCAAGTTGCCAAATACAAAGGGAAAGTTCTTGAAGGAAAGCAAAAGTGCTACTCCAGTGAACACACAAATGGTAAGGAAGCAAAACAGCCTTGTTTCAGTGGTCTGGATAGAAGATCAAACGTTCCCTTAAGCCAAAGCCTACTCTAGAGCAAAGTCCTAGCTCTCTTCAATTCTGTGATGGCCAAGAGGTGAGGAAGCTGCAGAAGAAAAGTTTGAAGCTTGTAGACACTGATTTGTGAGGTTTAAAGCAAAGAAGCTGTCTTTATAACCTAAAAGTGCGTGGTGAAGCCGCAAGTGCCAATGTAGAAACTGCAGCAACACTGAAGCAAGACCTTCCAGTACTTTATTAGCAATAAAGTATTTTTTAATTAAGGCATGTACATTGTTTTCTAGACATAATGCTATGATACACTTAATATACTACAGGATAGTATAAATGTAATTTTCATACGTGCTGGGAAGCCAAAAAATTCATTTGACTCACTTTGTTATATTTGCTTTACCGTGATGGTCTGGAACCAAACTTGTAGTATCTCTAAGGTTGCCTGTATACTTTCCCTGGATGCCTTGGCTGAGAGAAGATGTAAAGACTATTGGTTGATAACCGAAAGAATCTTACCTGATTTGGTCTCCAGAATCCTTTGACTGGAAAGTGACCCATGAGAAGTCAAGCCATGGAGAAATACAGAAGCCCTGATTCTGAATATTTGTTGGGTGGAGCCTTGGTTACTCTCTCTCATCTGCGAACACACCTGACTTCCAACATGTCTCTTCCCTTTGCCAACAATGGGCATTTGCTTATCTCCTTCAATAAAATAATTGGCTTTAATCATATTTTTTCTTTTCTCTTAGACTTTCCTGGAATTAGAGCAAAATGGTCCCATTAGACTTAACCTCTTTGACATGTGGCAATTCTGGATCTTAAACATTGAAGACACAGGCTAGGGCAAAAAGAGGCAAAAAGAGTTTGGAAGTCCCAGCTGTGTTCACAATAATGGAAATGACCCAACTTTATTATTCCCAGACTCATTTCTAGCAGGCACCCCCCAGTGCTTTTTCTGCCAGGTGTTCCTGAAACCAGTGTGGATCTGGAAGTTAGCAACTTCTAGCCACAGCCACAGCAGGGCCTTGACTTCTTGTTGGATGAGGTGTCAACAGACAGTGAGCTGTGAGCTCCTGCTAGTGAATTCTGTGTGTATGTCCAGAATGAGGGCTTGCTGATGTCAGTGTTGAATAAGTGATTTCCCCATCATCAGAGGTGTCCAAGAGGCTGGACATTCACTTAGCAAGGTGGTTACACAGGACAGCAGGTATTTAATGAAGGCTCGGAGGATTTGGAGGAAGAGTAGAATTACTTCTGAGGACCCTTTCAAGACTGAGATTTACGAATATTTATGCAGCCCCTTCCTCTGTGTCAGTGCAGGTGCAGAAATGAGACATTTAGCCTTCAGCAGCTTGTTGTAAACTGACAAGTTGACTAATACAGTAGTGTCATAGCACCATGATGAGGTAGCTGTCATAGAAAACATAGAAAGGGCATCCATGCCCTGCCTTTAGCAGGAAGCAGCTATTCCAAGAAAGCTACTGAGCAAGGTAACCTTTGACAAACAGTGAAAATGGAATATATTCTGGGGAAACTTCAAGTTGTTTAGCATGACTGGAATATGAGAGCTGTTGGTGGAGGAAGATAAGAAATGACTTTGAATTTAGTGGGAGTTTTTTCCCCTCCATGCTGTTGTGACCAGTTGCAGATTTTAATATGATGATTAGGGATTTGTGGAGGGGCCTTACTTGGAACGGTGATGTGTTTCTATTTGTATTTTAGTAAGATTTTTTTCTGGTGATAGTTTAGGAGATAGATTAGAGAAGGGAGATTACACCCAGGGAGACCTATTTGCTTTTTGCCCTGATTTGGGTGGTAAATAAATGAAGACCTGAAATAGAGACCTGGCTTGAGGATCCAAACAGGTGTCTAGATTTGAGGGGAATTTGAACACAGCATGGCTGACTAGGAGGTCTCAGGTACTTCTATCTGCCTGCTGCTGGAGCTCTACCCCAAGTGGGAGGGGGTGTAGCATACGTGTGGGGTACGCTGCTGGGTTTGAGGTGTTATGCAGAAAACCCTGGCTTTCCACCTTCTGAGGATGCAGGTCTGGAATGTAATTGCTGTCTGGACAAGAATAGAATTGGGAGACAGCAGCTTGCATGTGGCTAGTGTTGATTTGTGGGCCACCGGAGGTGTTTAATAGAGCAGGCTGAAACTTTGGGGTCACTTGATTTTTTAAAAATTCCACATTTTGGTGGAACATCTGGACAATCTGTAAGTTTTCTAGATGTTGTACCCTAATGCCCCTCAACTCTCCAGAAGTATGGATAACTGACGGGTGGGTCTCTGTGCATTCACATCACTATTTTGGGTCAAGAAAAGGAACCCTGTATATGGAGAAGGAGCAGACCTGGAGAGGGAGGGCAAACCATAGAGAATGGTGCCGCAGAGTTCCAAGAGGGCTCCGGAGGAGGAAATGTCACTGGATCAAATGAAGGGCTGAGGCACCAGTCACTTTAGTTCCTCTGTCAACTCTGACCTGAGAGCCACTTCCTGTGGTGTGGAGTGGGTGGGAGCTTACAGGGAACTGGAGGATGCCAGCGTATTTGGAAAGTTTTGGCTCTGAAGGGAAGGACAGAGTAAGGTTGAGAGGGTCTTACTAAATCAAATGGAAATGGTGAGTGACACTGGGAATGGGTATATTTGAAAAGAATGCCGGAAAGGAGGGAGCGAGTGGTTTGTGGAGGGAAATCTTTGAGGATGTATAAGTGAGTGAGATTCAGGGCCTGTGCTGATAGGGATACTCTTGTTTTGTTTTTTTCCAGAAAACTAATGAGAAATTAAAAACTTGAAGCACCATAGGAAACAAAGTACTCCTTTCAGAGAGCAGTATAAACACCCATCTGCGCAGGTGCACTGCTGTCACACAGGCTCTTTTTCTTCTCTTTGAGGACCCAAATCTCAGACACGCTGACATGTTTACCAAGAACTAGTTATCAGCTAGTAAATGTTTAATAACTGGTCCTGAGAAATGAATATAAAAGGCACTAACTTGTAGCGTTTGCCCTTGTCTGTGGTGTACACCTTCCTGCCAAGGCAGATTTCAGACACTAGGCTGATGTCATCCAATTGGAGCTGTGAGGATGTGCTCTCCGGAGCTGGTCCCGGCTGCCTCCACCTCCCTGTGGCACACCTCTACTGCACAGAAGGAATGCAAGGAGTCATCACTGCCCACGGATGGTCACCTTTCCCATTTCTAACATTGTGTCAGTTGAAAGTACCTGTTACCTATGATGTACACTAACACAAGACTGTTGTGCCTTCTGCGACAGAGCACCTTCAGTCCAGGACTGCTGGAGTTCAGAGAGTCTACAGGGGTGTGTCGTTTGTGGAAGACTGAGGAACCGTATGCCAGGTAGTTTAGGGAGGAAGTGGGACCTGCCTGTGCCTTGATGATTGGATTTGTGCCCCAGTGCTCAGCTGTCTGCATCTCTTTCTGTCTCGATACCATGACCCAGTTTAGGATATGTCATCAGTTGCCTGCTTTCCTCAGCCCTCTGTGGTCAATGTGAAATCTCACAGTTTTCTCCTTTGTGGAGCAAGCACACTTTCCTTCTGGGAATTTCTGTTTTGTTTTTGTTTTTAATTTTTAGTTTTTTATTGCTACTTGTAGTAGGAGCCTAAGAGGCTGGAGGGAGATGGGGTGGGAAGGAGCAGAGGTCCCATGTCCTCTTGACTTTATCAGGCACCTGGTACTGCATTGAGTGCTGGTGCTATAGTGATGAATGAGCTGGACATCGTCCAGGTGAGGGCTCATATCACAAAGGATCACTTAAGTCCTGGTAGAGAATTTGGGTTTCCTTTGGAGGGCCCTGGGAAGACATGGTTGAGTCTATGCAGGATGCAGAGTGAAGTGATAGATGTACTTCACTTAGGATTTCTAGTGGTTTGGGGTCATAAAGGACCATCTCTTGAAGTTGAAGAGCTCAGGCAAACGTTTTCCTGAGAAGTCTAATTTTGTAGACCGCCGTGAGCCCTGATTTTCTGTTCATGACAAATTTATTAACACTTTACTGCAAACAGCACAACAACAGTTTTACTAAAGGCAAGGTTAGAAAGTTGACCCTTTTCTGATCCTTCATAAATGGAGTTTAAAATCACTTTAATGTCCATGGGGTTTTGGCTCAAAGCGCAGAGTTTGTTTCCTAAGAAAGAGTTTGGGGTAAACCAATAGAGGTAATGTCATTGGTCTGCCAGTGGACACACCAGAGAGCTTACTATGCTTAGCAGAACAAGTCTCCAAGTCCCAAGTGAGCTGCCTTTGCCACCAACTCAGATGGAAATTGGTGCCCTTTAAATGATGTTATATCTGGGGATTCAGATATGCCAGATCCTGCCTAAATCCATGATCATGCCTGCCTCCCTCAGGGAAGTCACTGAAGGAGGCTGGTTCAGA